ACTGGGGTCCTGCCGGGGGCTACAGCTGTGGCCGTCGGGAGGAAGGGCTCTGGTTGTGCTGCAGTTGTGGCTCACTTAGGACTGAGACTTGCAACTGCAGGTTAACGCAGATTATCCCAGAAAGAAGTGGCTCTGTTTCTGCTCCACGCTGGCCAGCCTGAGGGCTCAGTGCCTTCTGCTCTGGGAGCAGCCACCATCCCCCAGGGAGAGGCCCCTCCTGTCCCTTGGGCCTGCCCTGGAGCCTGCGGGGGGGGGGGGGCGGGGGGGCATGGAGGGGGGCTCGACTTTGCCTGTGCCTGGCGCCATCAGGGACTGTGTGGGACATGGGACAGCTGGAGAGGCCTGGGCCTCTCCGGGACGGCCCTCGCAGCAGAAGGCAGAGCGTGAGCCTGTTTGGGATGGACGGTCTGCGGCCTCAGCGGGACTATTTTCTCTAGAAGCTCAGTGGGCACACGCTCGCCCCCAACCCCGCCGTCACCCACGCGGGCCCTGCCCGGGGCCACGGCTGCCGCCCGCGCCCCCACCGGGTCCTCCTCTCCAGCGCGCACGCGGCCCCTGCCCTTCCAGACGGCCCCGCCCCGGCCCCGAGCTGCACACCGGGAGCCGCCGTCTCGGCTCCGGCGAGTCTTCCTGGGCACGCGCACGTGTCCCCGCACACGGACATGCGTGCAAGCGACGGGGACTCACACCAGCACACGTGCCTCCAAGCATGTGCGCACACACAGCACACGTGCCACACACTCAGCACACGTGTGCACACGTGCATTCGGGGCTGGGAACCCGCCTTCTCGTCAGCCTCCCCACCCGCCCTCCGGGACAGCCCTCCCCGTCTCCTGCGCGCTGTGTCCTCCCAGGGCAGGGCCGTCCCGCCCGCCTCTGCCAGCATCGAGGGGTTGCTTCCTGGCGTGGCTCCCGACGCCCCCCCCTCGGCAGAGGTGTGCCTGTCTCCGGGAGCCCCTGGCTGGGGAGGGCCTCCCCCAGGTCCCGGCAGCGTGGCGCCTCCCTTCCTCCGGCGGGCCTGGCCCCCTCGCCCGGGCCTCCCTCCATCCTCGTGGTGGGCCAGGCGCCCTGGGCTGGGCCGCGCGAGGGTGGCGGAGGGGCCTGGCCAGGGCTCCCTCTCACAGCCGCGCCTCTTCGGAGGAGGCAGGGGGGGCGCGGGCGGTGCCGGGGTCACCTTTTACAGTGGAAAGTTTCCTTTATTGCTGCTGAAGAACCTGCCGCTTTTCTGGCCAAGCTGCCCTGGACGGCCAGACGCCCGGCCCCAGGCTCTCCCGAGGCGGCCGGTGAGTCACTCCTCAGTTGGGTCAGGGCTGCCTCGCGCCACGGGCGCATCCTCCGGCCGGGCCGCAGCCCACGGCTCTCGGGGGGACAGCGGCGCACACTGAGTCACGCCTTTGTGAGGTGATGTCTGCCTGGGCGGGCGGGGAGCGGGCACGGCCGCCTCGGCCCCCCGGCTGAATCACCGCCAGGGGAGGCGCCGTGGGCTTGCGGTGGTCAGCACACAAACAGGAAGTGGACTGAGGGGACGGTCAGCGTCACTGGCCGAGAGTGGCCTCTCCTCCCCCCCGGGTGGGCAGTCTGTCCGGAGCGGCTGGCCCCGCAGGCGCTAGGTTTTGTTCAGAGCCGGTGTGTGGTCCCCCTGCTCAGTCAGTCCTGGGCCTGGCCATTGTGTGCACGTCTGTGCACGTGTGTGTGCAAACATGCATGCGTGTCTCTGCGTGCCTGCACCTGTGCACCCCCACGCCGTCCCAGTGGGCACCCATTGGCCGCAGCCACCAAGCCAGGCTGCGCTGTGGCCGCTTCCGGGCCATGCTCTGGGAACGGGCTCGCCCTCCAGCAGCTCTGGCTAGTTCCCGGGTCCCTCACCCAGCCCCTTTCTGTCACATTCCCTCCAACGTGTCCGTCCTCTGCGCCCTGAGCTCCTGCAAGGGGGACGCAGGGTCTGGGTCCTCCTAAGTGATGCCTGGACTCCTGGCAGGGACACGCAGGGCCCGCGGGACCCCAGGGCGAGGCGTGGGGGCTCTGGCCATGGATGGTGCTGAGATGCAGGGACACAGGCCCTCCTGCTGGGCTCCTGCGCCGTGAGCGGCCGCCCGTGGGGTCCGGGTCATCGGCTGGGTGTGCCCGGGTACCGGGCGAGGGAGAGACCAGAAAATGCCCAAGTCCTGTGTTTTTGTACATAAAAGGGGCAGGTGGACGCAGAGGCCGCCTGTCTTCACCTGGTCAGGGGCCGCACCGCAGAGCCAGGCTCCCTGCGGGGGCTCGAGGCCTGTTGCCTGTCCGGTGTGCCTAACCCTAACCCTCCTGCCGGAGGGACGCCGCTGCCGGGGCCGGGGAGAGCGTGTGCCCTTGTTGAGCGCCGCAAGCCTTTTGGGTCGGATGATGCTTTCAAAACAGGAGGTGGAAGCCCCATGTGGGAGGACGTGCGGGGCCCTGAGGAGCCCCATAGTGTGGCCGGCGGCTGCAGGCTGTCCCCACGGCCACCCCTCTCCAGTCCACGCAGAGCCCCTGGGAGGCCGAGGGTCACCCTCGATGTTGGGTGTCACGGCCGGGGAAGGCGCCCCAGCCCCAAACCCTGCTCACAGCCAGTGTCCTCCGCGCTCTGGGCACTGGCGCGGCGGCACCTCGGGGAGGCCTTCCCGCAGCCCGAGTCCCCGAGCCCCGGTGGCCGGCTAGGCGGGCCAGGCTCCTGCGGGCGGCTGCCGCTCTTGGCCAGGCCGGCTTTTCCGCAGCGGAGGCGCCGCAGGCTGACGAGGAGCCGAGCGGCTGTTTCCTGAGAGCCTCCGTCTGGGCTGCTTCCAGAGGCGTCTCGTTCTGCACAGTCCAGGCGCCCCCCCCCCCCCCGCAGGCCCGCACACTGGGGCTCTGTTCCCGGAGCCTCCCCAGTGGCAGCGCCAGGAACACAACAGCCCGGCTGGCGCAGGGCGGAGGGGGGCAGGGGTGGGGGCGTGGGGGGGCTGGCCGCTGGGCCCGGGTCTCCGCCCTTCCCTCCCCTCCCCTCCCTTCCCCCGGCCCGCCTGTGCCACACCCCACCCCGCAGTGCTGCTCTGGCTGCCTCCAGCAGGTGAGGGGTGCATGTCACGTGCTGCCTTGTCCCCCAGGCATCTGAGGACCCCCCACCCGCCCTGGTCTGGGGCTCCACAGATGTTCACGAGGGGCTGTGGCTGCAGATGCGCAGGGAGCCGGGCTGCTGCCTCCCGCCTCCGCTCTGCCCGCTTTCCCAGGGGTCCAGCCCCAGAGAAGGGGGCGCAGGGTGAGCGCTGGGAGCCGCCCAGGCCACCCCTGAGTGGGAGCACCTGAGCTGCAGCAGACGGGCAGGAGCCCGGCCAAGGGGCTGCTGCCGTGTCAGGAGCTTCCGCCCAGGGCTGGCCGTGAGCGCCGGCGTGGACCCGGGGCAGGCGGGTGGGGTCTCGCGTGGCTCTGGGTCCTTCTCTGGACCTGAGTCGTGTGGGAGGCTATGCGCCCATCGGCGCCTCTTCCTCAACGGTGACCGCCCCGGTGCAGGCATCCACGCACCACTGGCCGGCTCGCGTTGCCAGGAGCCGGTTCTGCTTGGGGGACTGTAGAGCCAGCGTGGCCTGAGGACTGTCCAGGTCCGTGGCCCTTCCCCAGGCTTCCCCACAGGCTGCTCTGCCCGCTGCGGCCTGCCTTCCACCCCCCCCAACAACCACAGGCCCCTGCGGCCTTGGCTCCCACGGGACTGGTGCCGGTCAGGGCTGGGCACAGCGGCCAGGCCGGCCCCGCAGGCTTGGGGCCTGCACAGCTCACGCCGTGTCCCTGCAGCCGCCCCCGGGTCCGCCGTGACAGGCCTGGCCGCTGGGGCTCGGGGGCCGGCTTGTGCGTGACCGCACCGTGGCTGCACCGGCCGGCATTCCCGGCGCGCTCCAGTCCCAGCACGAGATGCCGCGGCTCAGGGTGGGTGCGCGTGCGAGGCCGTGATGCCGACGGAGCTTGTGGCTGGTGTACGTGCTTTCTCGGCGGTGGCCTCTGGAGTCCCGCCGTCAAAGCAACGTTTGCGGCTCATGGGCTCCAAGCCCAGTCCCGGGGGAGTTGAGGGGACTCGGGTTGCCAGGGGACACTCCCTGCCCCTTCCCCTGGGCCCCTCAGCTCCTCGCCCGCGCCTGGGCCTCCCATCTCACCCGCTCCCCTGCCCGCTGTCTCGAGCTGTGTGGGGCTCCCTGGGCTCGGCAGACCCCTCCTCCCTGGGCGTGTGGGAGCACCTCCCGCTGCCCGGCCCCCCCAGGGCGTGCCCCCAGGACGAGGCTGGCCCTGCCCAGCGCAGTGGTGGTGCCCCCGCTCCTGGCCACGCGGGGTCTGAGCTCTCCAACAGCCACACACTCGCCAAGTGGGGTGGGGGTGGGGGTGGGGGGCAGGTGTTATTTGGCTGTGGCCTGTGTTTAGGAATGTGCTGCCACCTCCAGCTGTCTGGGCGGTGTCCTGATGCTGTTCCTGGTTTATAAACTGTGTGACCTCCGCCCTCGCCTGTGGCCGACCTTCTAGTTTCTTCCTGGGGATGCTCCGGGCAGAATGTGTGTCCTGCAATGGTGCCTAGTGGCCTCGGGTATCCAGTCTGATGCCCTCGCATGGCCTGTGGGGCTGACTCGGACCCTAAGTGTGGCTCCTGGAGGCGCCTGGGGCTCTCCTGGGGGCTGGGTGGCTTCCTCCAGCTGCACCCCCGCAGCCCAGACCTCCGCAGTGGACACAGCCGCTGGAGGGGAGTGGCCGGCGGCTGGCCGGTGGGTGACCCTGTCCCCCACGGCCGGTCTCTGGAGGACAGGGTGGAAGCATGACGCCACGTGAGGGGCCGTGGGACACAGCCCCAGGCGCAGCTGTGTCCAGCGTGTCCAGCACAGGCGCGTCTGGGGTGGCGGGGCTGTGGCTGCCAGCTGGGGAGCCCTGACTCTGGGGCCCGGGGTCGGCACGTCTCTGTCCTTGCCGGCCACGCGGGTGCGGCTGCCCCGACTTCTGTGGTGCCACAAAGGTCGTTTTTCCTGTTACAGTCAAGCTGCAGCTTCAAGCAGAGGAGCGCGGGGTCGTGTCCATCAAGGGTGTGTGCGCCGACCGCTACCTGGCCATGAAGGAGGACGGGAGGCTGCAGGCGTCTGTGAGTAGCCGCCGCCCCTCCCTGCCGCGGCCGGCGATGGCCCAGGCTCCGCCCGCCTCTCGGGCTCCACCAGCAAGAGGCCCAGGCGCCCTGAGGCAGCGGGTCTGGGGGAGGGGGCGCGGGTGGGGGAGCCCAGGAAGAGCAGCCCAGAGCTGGGGGATGTCTGATGTCTGATGGGGGATGTCTGGCGCCCCTGCTGCCCGTGTCACTCTGGAGGACAGGGTGCCTGGAGGGGGGGCTGCCTCTGGGGACACCGGGGGCCGGGCGGGGGGGATGGGGGACGGGGTGGATGCCAGAGTTGGGGGGACTGGGGGGATGTGCCGCCGAGCAGCGTGTCCCAGGACAGCGAGTCAAGGGTGACTGGGGAGACCTGGGCCTTGTGGTGAGGAAGGGCTGACCCTCTCTGCACACCCTTTCTGTGAGGGCCTCTGGGCCTGGCCGGCTGGTGGCGGGTGAGGGCCTGTCCTGGCACTGCCCGCCCGCCTGGCTCCAGCGCTGTGGTGCCACTTCCCGGGAGCAGAGGCCTGGCCAGCGAGGGCCATTCCCCCGAGAGCCGGCATGGAGAGCTGGGCAGCACCCATGGGCTGGGAAGGGCGGCCTCTCCGCGAGGGAGTGCGTCCCCAGACACCAGGGCTCAACGAGGAGGCGCCAAGCTTAAGAGGACAGGCCTGAAGACTGACTGCGCTCCCTTGGGGAGCGGCCCTGGGCCCTGCCCGCTGCTCCGGCCCATCAGGAGCCTGACACCCCACAAGTGGGCAGCCTGAGCCTGGCTGGACAGGGCGTGGGGCGAGGCCTGGCGCGAGGCGGGCTATGTCCACCTGGAGGACATAGCCTCTCCTGGCGCACTGGGCTCCAGGGCCCTCTCAGCACGTGTGGGTGGGCCGGGCAGTTTCCAGGGGGCAGCAAGTCCCCCTACCACACAGCCCTTGGACTTGGAGGCGGCCTCGGGGCTGTCCTCGTCTGCCCGGGCCCTGGGGCCAGCCAGGCCCTCGGGGCAGGGGCGGCAGGCGGGGTCGCCCACCCTCTGCCCCGGCTCTGGCCGTCTCCCCCTCTGCTCCTGGGTGGGGCCTGCGGCCGTCTGGGGTTGCACTGTGTGCTGTGGAGGCGGAGACCGATGCCCTCCACGGGGTGCGCAGGGGCCCCCTCGGGGGAGGGCTCGCGCGGGGGTCCCTGGACGGTCTCCCTTCGGAAGTCGGGCAGCCTCGCAGAGCAGAGGGCCTGCGGCCCCCCCGCCCCGCCCGCCTCGCCGCTCCCCGCTCCCATCCCTGGCCCGGCAGCTGTGTTGCTGTGGCAACAGAAGCCGAGGACAAATACTAGGACCTATGACGTCCTGCGTTCACAGAGCTTGGCCTTGACAGATTGCACGAAGTGGGGCTAATCGCAGTTTCAGGTTTCCGTCGCCACGCAGCCCGAGGCCGGCGCTGGCTGAGGCGCTGGCCGGCTCCATCGGCAGGAACGTGCCCGCTGCGTCCCCACGGCCATAGCGGTGCTGGCTGCGCGGCCTCAGCCCGGCCGCGAAACAGCAGCGGTGACCCCTGCCCCGCGGGCCCTGCGTGTGATCCCTGTGACGCGAAACACTGTCCACCCCAGGCAGAGCTGGGCAGCCAGGGGCCGAGACCGCAGGCCGCCCGGCCAAACTCGTGTGGAAACAGCAGGCGAGGGCGTGCGGGAACGGCGGGACAGGGTGGGCTTCGCTCCAAAGAGCGAGCCCTAGATGGAGGCGGAGCCGGCGCCGAGGCCGCAGCCCCGAGGCCCGTTGGGTCGCCACAGGGGCAGCCTCTGTTCCAGCTCTTCCTCCTGAGACAGGCCACGCTGACCTGCGTCAGCCTGTTTGTAATTCTCGGAAGTGGCGTAAGCAAAAGCATCTCGGGATGGATGTTGTGCAAACCCCTTCATAAGCCAAAACTACAAAATCAAAGTCTGTAAAGGAATAAATAAGCCAAGACCGGAGCTGGGGGCAGTAGGCGCCTCCCACGTGGCAGCAGGCCACCCAGGGCCCTGCCCGGCGGGGGAGGGGCAGGGTGGGGCGGAGCGGGCAGAACACCGGCTGCTTGGTTCTGTCCCGTCACATCACAGGCTCAGACAGCGCTAAAGGCTCAAAGGCTGTCAAAGCCTGGGGGCCCGAGGTCGGCCCCCTTCTCTGCAGTGGCCGCCGCTCCGGCTGTTTCCCGAGGCAGGCCGCGCACTCCGCTCAGTGTGGGCTCTGCTGTCCCCGGGCGCTGCCTCGTCAGCCTCCCCGTCGCAGGGTCTCCCTAGCGTGGCAGCGTCCGCCGTCCTGCTGGGCACGGCCGCTGGGGAGCCCTTCTTGGGCCCGCCACGCCGAGGCGGTCAGGGCATCTCTATGTGGGGCCGCCGCGGGTCATGGGCGCCTGGTGGGGGGAGCCGCTGGTCCTGGCCCCGGCCCTTCGCGGCCTGGACGGTGCCTGCCCCGCGCGCCCCTGCCCACCAGGGGCCCATGTTCAACATGTGCGGACATCGCGTCGCTTTCCTTCCTTTTCCAATTCAAAGTAAATTTAGTATCTCAGCAAAACCAGATCAAGCGCAAGCACTGGTTCTTCCCGATTCAGATACTACCGTGGGGGTCAGCCCGGCACTGATCACCACTGGCCATCCTGACATCCCAGATGCGATGGCCCCGCGGCCTGACCTCGCGGTGTGGGAGTGGTCAGCTTGGGCCAGCGGGCCCACCCCACAGGCTGCGCCTCGCTCCCCACACCCGCGGCCGTTACCCCGCACTTAGACGTGAGCGTGTCGCTCGCTGGGCTGCCGAGGCCGCTCTGGGTGGTTAGCGCTGGAGCAGGTGCCCCCTCGGGCAGGTGGGTGTCGGGGGCGCCTTGGCACCCTGGTCTGTGCCCACCACGCCTGCAGCTCCAACTGGCATGAGGGAGGCGGCCGCCTGGCCCCGCCCTCTGCCCCGGGTGAGCCCTTACCCCGCCAGCGAGGTCTCGGTGCCAGCGTGACGCTGGAGACAGGAAGCCTCTGCCCGCGCCCGTGCAGGAGGCCGCTGTGCCCATGCCCTGGACTGAGGCCTGACGACCTGTTCAGAAATGACCCAGCTGTTCCCGGCTGCAGCCCGGCCTGCAGGGGCATCAGCTGGGCCTCCAGCAAGAGCGTCGCCCCCACTGCAGCGCCAGAGCCGGGCCGTCCCTGGCCCGAGACAGGAGATGTTGGTGGAGAAGGCAGCGCTGGGGCTGCCTGCCGGGGCTGGGGGCCAGGCCCTGCCGGCCCTGGGGTCACTGTCCCGGCCTCCAGCCTCCCAGGCTGGCCCTCTCGCTTCGTGGGTTGCTCCGCAGCTCTCCGCGTGGCTTTGCTCGCTGATGTACATTTGCCTGCTTGTGCCTTTGTCTGGCTTATCTTGGAACCAGAGAATCTGGGAAAAGCCCCGGGTCTGGGTGATGCGGTTTCCCAGCCGAGCCCCTGGGCCCGCGTGGATGGCGCCGCTGCGGCTGGGCTGCCTGTCCATACGATGCGTGCGCTGGGCGGCGTCGCACTGCGTGGAAATGTGCGCGCAAAACACACCCCAGACTTACACCTTGTAACTGTCAATTCGTGCAGAATAACTCAGCGTATGCCGTTGCCCAGCTTGTAGCAGATGTCAGCGTAACACAGAAAATGGGGGTTTCCTTTCTTCCCCCAAGGGAAGCTCCCACACGGGGCGGTGACAAGCGGCAGCTGCAGGGGAGAGGCGGGCGAGCGGCCTGGCCTTGCTCGCGGCTGCGTATGATGTCCAGTGGTGTCCTGGGGGGTTTGTGGGCATCTGGCCACTTCCTGTGCAGGAAGCCACGGTGCCTGATGCCCAGGAGACAACTTTAGCTCCGGGGAGATGTCCTGACTCGAGCAGCTGGTTGTTTCTGTGCCTGACTATGAACCGGGCCCCTCTCTTCCACTGGGGGGTCGCTGGGCCCCCTTCCAGAAGCCACTGGGCCTGACCCAGGACACCTGGCTGGTGGTGGCCCTGGACAGGGAGGACAGGTCGGCTCTGGCTCCCTGTGGGGATGCCAAGGCTGGGCAGCCTGGAGCCCAGCAAGGGGCCCCCAGATGGCTCAGTGTGGCCCCCGGCCGGTGTTTTGGGGCCGTTCCGCCCCTCTTGGGGCTCACCCTGTGGGGCCCTGGCCTGAGACCCGCCGAATCCCAAGTGTGTCTGGGTCTGTGATCCCAGAGCTGCGGCTGGGGTCAGGGGAGCCCCCAGACCTGCACGCAGGCAATCACAACCACCCAGTTCCTTGTTTTCCAGAAATGCGTCACGGACGAGTGCTTCTTCTTTGAACGGCTGGAATCCAACAACTACAACACCTACCGCTCCAGGAAGTACTCGGGCTGGTACGTGGCCCTCAAGCGGACCGGGCAGTACAAGCTGGGGCCCAGGACTGGGCCTGGCCAGAAGGCCGTCCTCTTCCTCCCCATGTCGGCCCGGGGCGGTTCTTAGCGCGCCCGCCTGCCTCCCCGCGCCCGCCCGCCTCCCCGCCTTCGCGCCCTGCCCACCCCGCCTTCACGCCCGGGTGGGGCCTCTGCCCTTCGCCGCCCTGGGAAAAAGGCCTGTGAAATCACATGCTTTGCCAACAAGTTGTCTTCATGGAAATCATACATGCTCCAAAGTCAGAGCTGTGCCCCCCGCGTGCCCACCATCCTGGCGCGCAGCGGGGCCCCCGCGGGCCGCCCTATAGCCCGCGGGCAGCGGCCGGTGGTAGAGCTGGTAGGACAGCCCCGGGTGCACGGCCGGGAGCTGCTCCATGGGCAGGTCCACCTTGTCGAAGCCGGCCTCGTGTCCATACAGCAGCAGCCGCGCCACCCGGCTGGTGAGGGCTGTGGTGTGGGCTGTGCGCGCCAGGCGGCCCAGGTCCATCCAGGCGCCGCGGGCGCACTCGTGCGGGCACAGGCGGAGGGCGAGCGAGCGCGGCTGCAGGCGGCACACCACGAACAGGTCCGACTTCCCGAAGGCGCCGGGGCTGCGGTGCTGCTGGCGGAGGCTCAGCAGAGACCGGAACTCCGCCCGCACCCCGGTCTCCTCGAAGACCTCGCGCACGGCCGTGTCTCCTGTGGGACAGACACGCGGGTCAGGGGCGGGGGCGCGGGAACGCCCCAGCACGGCTGTCAGCTCCAGCACCGCGTCAAGGCGCCTGAGGCCCGCGCCGGGGCCCACGCCTTTCCCACCCTTTCCTTGCCTTCCCCAAAGGGTAAAAGCCGGGTCCCAAAGGCTAAGCAGGCTCGTCCTATTCCCTGTCCCCGGTCGCCGGTCTGGGAAGCTGTCTGAACGTGCCCGGTCCCTCCCCCTCGCCCGAGTCGGGGCTGAGCCCACTCAGCGCCACGCGCCTCCAGTCCCGGCCAGAGATCTTCGGCACTTTCTTTGTTTCTTGAGATAAGACGCCAAGTGTGGGGGTCCGCTCCTCCTCACCAGGCTGCCTGCGGCCTCAGCAGACCTCTTAGCGCTTGTGCCCCAGGGAACCTTCCACACGGCGCGGATTTCCTCCTCCTGTGACTCTCGGGAACGCGCATTCTGGGGCAGGGATTTTGCTGCCCTCTGCACGGTCTCCTGGCGGCTTTCCCGAGACCTCCAGAGCCCCAAGTGCCTCTCTGACCTGGGTTGGGGGTGCCCAGGCCGGGGGCCCTGCTGTGGCGACGGCACAGGCTCGGGGGAGCCCCGGTCAGTGCCGGCCTCGTCTGTCCTGCAGGGCCTAGCCCTGCCCTTTCTCGTCTGCCACTTTGGAGCTGCGCTGCCTTCCCGCATCGCTGAGATTTGCCAGAGGTTAGACAGGGTTCAAGATTACATTTTAACGTAAAAAACATAAAAGAATTTAGAATGAGAAAAAACTTTGACCCAGCATGCAGCATGCCTTGGTTTTCAACGTTTTAAAGGCGGGCACTAGTGTAAACCTTTGTGTCCTCGGCCGATCTCCTTGAACTGTTGTCTGTTTTTAGATTTTAAACACTTTGAAAATTAACCCGGAGGCCTGGTCAGCTCTGGCCCCACTTGCGGGCGCGGGCGGGCGCCTGAGGGGCCCCGGCACGGGTCTCCCCGGCACAGCCGACCTCCTGCACCCGCAGTCTTCCGGGGCTGCCTCGTGAGTCCGCGTTTTTTATCTAGACAAAGTGCTTTTCCCTGTTGTGCCTTTACTATTCAATGTACTGTAAGCTAAGATGAGGACACTGTAGCTGTCGGACTGGTGTGTGGACTGCAGGGCAAACCAAGAGGGTTTTGTTTTCATTTTTGATGCTTCCCCGACATCGCGGTGTTTCAGTCACAGGACAAGAGCGAGCAGACTTTAGGACTTACTCGTGTTCGCGTTATTTAAGGGCAGGGCTAGGCTGACGTGAGGCAGGAGCACAGACGGGCGGTGAGGAAGGATCTGGCCGCCCGTGGCTCAGGGTCGCGACGCCCCGCAGCGCAGGAGGCTTCTTCAGGACGCCGACTCCTCCCTGTGACCGTGCAGACACCCCTGCGGGCGCCCCCTTGCCGCGAGTCTCGGGCAGGGGTCCCCAGCAAGGCCTCGTCTCTAGCTTGCCGCTGCAGGCCAGCGCCGGCCGCCTTCAGCAGGATCCAGTCCCCGGCGGGCAGCTCTGGGACGCAGGCCGAGCTGCACCCTCCTGGAAGCGCTGCCGGTGCCAGCCCCACCCCTCCCCTCATCCTGACCAGAGCCAAGTGGCTGCAAAAGGGCAGGCGGGGGGCGGGGACACACGCAGCCAGGGCTCTAGAATAGCTGGCCCTGGTCTCAGTGGACCCGGGAGAGCCTGGGCGAGGGCCAGCAGGTGCCGGGCCAGCCAGGCCTGGGAGCAGCACGCCGTCACTGAGGCACACGGGGCCAGGCCTTTCTGTGCAGCACCGCAACAGTGAGTCCCAGGCACCCAGAACATTCTACATAAAACACCAAAGATCACTCAGGAACCCGCCTCCTTCGGATGCTGGCTGAAGAGAACAGGGCTCCTGCATGCGGAGGGCCAGCTGTGGCCGGGCTCCCGGCGCGGCGCAGGAGGGGCAGGCGGATGCCACCGCTGTTCTCCCGCCAGCTTCCTGCAGAGTCAGTGCCACAAGGGACCCCTGGCCGATTTCGTGTTTTCCGGCCCGAGCTGTTGAGCTCAATTATTTCGGGGGTTCTCTCTCCGCTGAGGCTTTCTCTGCGCCGTTTTGCCGTGTCTGCTCCCTGGCCGTGGAGGCCAGCAGCGGGTCGCGCGTCCCTGCGCGGGACAGTTGCGCCCTGGTGCCCTGACCTCTGAGCGGCGCTGACCTCACGGTCGCTAGGGGCTGCTGGCCCTTGGGGGAGGGAAGCACTTGTGTTTCCCGTGGACTAAGCCTAGCGATCTCGGTCACAGCCTGTTCTGTTATCGTGCTGGTCCGCGCGGGGCGGCCTGTTTCCAGACAGTTTAACAGAGGGGCGGGCCGAGCGGGCGGCCTCGTGCATACGCGGAGGGGGTTGTGATGCTCTGAACTATGCTGACCCCACGTCAGCCCTGAAGTCACCTCCTGACACTCCCCACACTGAACCAGTCAGAGAACCAAGGTCTTATTTTAACTGTGGAGCAGGAAACCAGACACACGAGTCTCCTGGACACTGTCATGCGGGGGAAAGCGCCTGTACATACCGATGTTCTCGCCCGGCTCCGACAGGCCTCCAGGAAACTTCCACATGCTCTTCAACTGCACAGAAAGCCAGAAAGCAGCATTAGCACAGCATTTGCACACGCATGTGCACACACGCGCGCGCACACACGCACCGCGAATTCCACCCTCGGCTGATCAAGGTGGCTGAGAATCTAGTCTGTGGTGATTGCATGCACGTTTTTCCCCATTTCCTTTCTCCCTTTACTCTTTCTGGGGAAACCGTTCACTTATGAAATCCGTTCCCACCTTTTCCTTCAGGAAACAGAGGCGGTTTTGTTTGGTTAATGTGATAAATTCTGTATGAATGAAACAGTGGAGAGAAACACCTACTGAATTTGTGTTATTTAAACAATTTTGCTGCTAGTTAACTATTAATAGAGGAATTATACAGAAGCTGCTATAAATAAGTAGGAAGTACAGTACAAACGTAATCACTAAAATATGCTATTTTTAATTTTCACAACTATTTTCAGATTGTGTGTCTAATCAAATATATTAATCTTAAGAATTTTCTTGTTCTGTGTCAATGACTTATTGAAAGAGTGTAATTGCTTCTCGTGGGCAGTATGAAGACAGTTGATTCGTTCCTGTCTGTCTCTTCCTGGGGAGGGCAGGTGAGCAGAGCTGGTCTTGGGGTCCACGCCCTGGAGACTGACCCTGCTGCGAGGCCGCGGGGGTCCTCGGGGGGCTCCTCCTCCCATGCTGCGCTGTCCCTCGGGGGCAGACTGGCCCCACCAGAGCCCAGAGCTCGCGTTGAGCCCTCCGCGCAGCTCTAGGGCGCGTGCCTGTGGCGGCACATCTCCTGCTGCTGCCTTCTGGGGAGGCCCACAGCTGTGTCTCCATGGGGGCCTATCGGCTGCAGAGAAACCTCCCTTGCCTCGTGGACGTCTGTCCTGTATAGAGGGCGGCGATGCTCCCCAAGCAAGCCCACTTGGGCGTCTGCTGGGCGTGGCGCTGGGCAGCTGGAGAAGCAGAGGCAGCCGGGCGTGGGAAGCGGCAGACCGGGCCTGACCTGGAGCAGCTCTCAAACCCCAGGTGTGGGGAGATGGTGTCTACACGGCTGGTGGCCACGGGCACCCACGGCACCACTTAGGACTAAAGAACTCAGCGCAGGGCTCGTCGTCGTCGTCGTCCCCCTTGGGAAACCCGCTGTGGAAACCCCCAGCGTCCAAGCGGCCGCTGTCTCTGTGCCTTTGTCTGTGTTAGAAACAAAACACCGACGGCGCGGCACCCGCTGCCTCGGACTCTGCCCGCTCCGGGCACGGTGGCGCGTGGGACCTGTGTGGCCGGCGGCAGCTCTGTCCCCACTGTGGGCCCCAGGGCAGGGGGCTCCGACGCGGGGCTCTAACCACCTCCTAGGGACTTGAAAGCCGACGTGCTGGCTCCTCATTGCCGGAGTCCCACTTGCTGCTTTTTCTGTGTAAACCTTTGGGTCTCTTCTCGGCCCTCCCGTGGGCCCTCTGCGGGGCCGGACGGAAACCCGCCTTACTCGGGCTGCTCAGGGCTGCTGCGCCCGAGATGAGGTCGTCTGCTGCCCGCGCGGCATCTGCTGGCCTGAGGCCCTGCCAGAATCTCCTGACGGGCACAGGGGCTACTCCCTGGCAGCAGCTCACGGCCCGCCTGTCCTCCGGCACCTGCTTTCATGAGGAACTCCCTGCGAGGAGCGGGGAGGGGTCGACATCAGGCCTGTGTGAGCGGCTGTTTTCACCTTCCTCTGAAAGACAGAAATCTCTGCTTGCAGGTAAATCCCACGTCCTTCCCCCGTGGAAGGGCCTTCCACTGCCTTCTGGAAGTGCCCCTCCACCCTGCCTGCCTGTTGGGGCCGTCTCAGCCTTGCCCCTGCGCTGGGGCTGCGGCTGCTGCTGGTTCCGTTCCGCCCGAGAGGCGCTGCAGCCTCCTAGCTTTTGTCTGCGTGTGGTTTTCAGCCATGTTTGCAGCAGCTCCGTGGTTCGGAATGATGACTGCGACGACAGCTTTTTCCTATACATTTGCCAACCTGGCGCTCTTGCGTGGGTGTGCATGTGTGTCCGTGATGAGCAGCTGTGGGAGGCCCTGGGGGTGGCGTGGGATGACCCGCTGCCCCCGCAGCCCCTCTGTCCTGTCAGGAATTGCCGGCCCCCTCTGATACCAGTGAAGGTGTTACCTTCTGATGCAGTTTTCACAGATAGTAACTGGAGGTGAGATACTTCCCCTGTTGCGGCAGTTTTGAGTTTAAGCAATTTGAAAAAAAAAACAAACTTGTTCTGAAGTTAAACTTACTTTAGCGTTTCTAAAAGAATGAGGGAGCAGGAGTGACTCATTTTCTGATGCTTTCTGTCTCTATTTTTCCAACCCCACGGACAGCTTCTGTTTTCCGAGCAGATGAGGAGCCTCAGACCTGCCCTGGGCGTGGCTCCGGGGCCCTGGGCGAGGGTTTGTATAAACAGAGCCCCCAAACCCCGCTCTGCTGCAGATGGCAAGCGTGGGTCCGGCCTGTGCCCTCCCTCCCAGCCTCCCGGTGCTCGCCTTGTTCGCCCCACACTGCAGCCTGCCGAGGGGCCAGGCCTGGCCGTCCTCCATGCTCGCTCTTCCCCAGGCCAGCGTGCCGCATGGACCACGCCCAGCAGCCGGGCAGAGGCCCTGGTCCTTCGGGGCCGGCCAGGGAAGGGCCTCCTTTCTGCTCCCGCACAGCAGCATTGAGCTGTGTGGGTTTTCTATGAATTTCCACATTTCAGTGAGTAATTACATAGATTGGTTCCTACTTACAGACCAGCACCCCGAAGGGCGCGGGTGGGTGGCGTCAGCTGGCTGCCTCCCAGCCTCTGCTCAGCCCTGTGACATTTCATTTGACAAAGCATTTCCGAGTCAGTGCGCTATTTAAAGGTCGTAATGGCTCACCCTTTCTTTCCAAAATACTAAAGTGGCCCAAGCAGGCCCCAGGCAGGGATGAGTCTCACAGGTACACGTGTGTGGGCGTGACAGGGGGACGCCAGTGCACCCCGGTGCACCCCTCTGTCACGCCCCCGCGGGTTCATGTGTGGGGAAGCAGGTCTGCAGGGACCCGGGCTCGGCCCAAAGGACGGCAGCCAGCTGCGGGCAGGCCAGACCCCAGGGCTTCGTCCAGGCCCACCTTTTTCTCTACAAGCTCTTACGGCCCTTTGGCACAGAAAACACTCAGTGAACTCTGGTGACACTTTCTCTTTAAATGCAAGGAAAAAGGCAGCTAATGGGATATACTGAGGAGACAGTAAAGCCTTTTACGATACATCTCTGGAAGTAACTTGTACATATAGGGGGACAGATCTTTTTTTCTAAGCTTAGTGACAGAAATGCACCATGGGTGTTGTGCGAATGGTCGACAATGTCCTTTCAGAGCTGTGGTCTCCACTTTGCGTCTAAGCCAATGTAACTGGCTAAGTCGTTTCAGGTCCTGGCCCCACTGTCAGCCACAGCGGCAGCTGGTGGCAGGGGAACAAGGGGCGGCAAAGCTTCCCTTCTGCAGGTTGGCACAAAGCTGCCGGCCGGTATCGCTCAGTTCCTTATGGGCAGGGTCGGGTCTGTCTTGAAACCTTTACTTAATGTTCGAGTGTGGAGGCACTGGGGCCTGCCGTCCTCCCACAAAATGATTTCTTTGGGGGTTTGGTGAATTATTTTCTTCTGAAGATCAAACTCTGAAACCAGGTAAGCTGCACAAGGTCTTGACTCCACTATGCGGCCTGTGCATTTTGGGTGAATTAATTAGGTCCCCAGGTCTCAGTGTTCTCATCTTCAAAATGGGCATAAAAATGCTCATGGGTGGGTGGTGGAAGCAGTTGCAAACACGCAGAGATGTCCGGAGCACGCGCACGTGGCTCTGTCCGGGCTGCGGCACGTCACGGCGGTCCACTGCATACAGCATGGCAGACATGAGCACGAATGTATAACGTTTACATGTAGGAGAGCAGAGTTAAGTGGGAAGAAGACATCGAAAGTCACTGGATGATGACTTTCGGGGAGGATGATGTCAGCAGAAACCTCAGCTGGGAAGTGGCCGCTGCAGCTGTGATAATTTGTTTTCCAAGGGCCACAGCCCCAAGGCCGTGAGGAGTCCGAGCTCCGCTCTCTGTGCACAGCCAAGTCCCTGCAGCAGCGCATCTGTGGATGCGCGGGGGCGGCCCCGGCGATCTCCTTCCTTCCAGGAGAAAGCAGGTGCCGGGGAGCCGCCTGCTGGTTTCTGACCCTGGGCCACTGGCCACATGAGCACTGGAGAGTCCACTATGAACAGCTGTCCTGTGGATTAGAAACACCACTTCCCCTTGTCCTGCAGCCGTCACGCTGCGACTAGTGAGCAGCCAAGGCCACGCGGTCTCCAGGCCATGTCAGTATCTTTGGTTGGAATAAAAACCCCAAAAGCCCCAAAGCTCAGAAACGAGTAGCACCTCCTGCCCGCTGCGGGCACGGCATGACATCAGCACTGTGGTTTTCTCTAGTGAAACTGGGAAAACAATTTATGGGGCAGAAACAACTTACTTTATCTCGATCTTGTACAACCAATACTTTTCTAGTATTTTCATCAAATACAGCTCCTGTGGGGGGGAAACAGGAAGGTCAGTTGGTGCAGCAATCCCGTTGACCTTAGACGCCTCCACGCTCCCATTGTCCTCAGAACCCTCTGCTCACGGGCCTGGTGCAGAGCTGCCTCCCCCAGGCCCGAGTCCCCCGGTGGGGGCAGCACTGCGACTCGGGTGACGCGGAGATGAAGCAGGGAGAGGGACACGTGACCCAAGGTATGCTTGGAAACAGAAACGCTCCATTTTAGGGTTCTGAAGCAAGAAGGAAAACCACTGAATATATCAACAGTGGCTTCTGTAGAAAACGTAAACTAAAATGTAACGGGACTGCACAAAGGGCAGACCGGCAAAGAAGCGCCAAGGAGGCTGCTCCCGAATCCTGCTGAGCTCCCGCTGTGGTCAGCGCTTGCCCTCGCCAGGGAACTCGGCCTCTGAGTGTTCCCTTCCTGCCCGGGAGGCGGCCCTGCCTGCAGGGCGAGGGGGCACTGCCCTCCGCTCAGAACAATCACCGCGGTTATGCTCTGCCTGGGGACCCCAGTGGGCTCCGAGGTGTGGTCGGGTGAGGCCGGCCGGGCGCTGGCCTGGCGCGGCTGAGACCCCAGCAGTGGACTTTGTGCCCGCGGGGCCCTGGACGCGCAAATCGCGAGGCTCAGCCGAGCCCAGGGAAGATGCCCCGGCCGGCCGGCGTGCGCGTGTGGAGAGCGGCGGGCGAGTGCGGGGGTCACAGGCGAGGCACCAGCGGGGCCGCAGCTCAGGGCCGCGTGGCCTCGTGGAGTGGCCACGCAGGACCAGGCCAGAGGCAAGTTTTGGGGTCACACAAAACTTCTGCTCCTGGAAAGTCAGCGGCTTTCTCTCCAGCTGAACAGCGGGCGCGTCTGCGGGAGGCAGCGGCCTCGCGCGCCCCCCCGCCCCGCCCGGCCGCCCCCCGCCCGCCCCCCGCCCGGCCGCCCCGCCCCCCCGCCGCACTGACCCGCGACGCCCACTCGGTGCGTGGCGGCCGCGGGCAGCCGGCTGGGCTCGTCGCGCAGCCACAGGCTCAGCAGCGCCGCGGCGGGCTCGGCGTGGTGGAAGCGGAAGCCCAGCGCCGCGGCGGGCGCGATGCAGCGGCTCAGGGCGATCGGCACGCGCAGCCACACCGCCGGCCGGCCCTGCGCGCGCCAGCGCCTCAGCGCGCCTGCGGGCCGGACCCGGCGGTCAGCGCGGCCCCGGGACAGGGGCCGGCCCCGCCCCCGCCAGCCCCGCCCCCGCCGGCCCCGCCCCTCCCGGGCCCCGCCCCCCGGCCGCACTTGCCCCGCCCGCCAGCCCCGCCCCCGCCGGCCGCACCACTTGCCCTGAAGGCCGCGCTGAAAGGCGTCAGCGTCCAGCCCGGCCTCCCCGCCCAGCCGAACCCACACGGCCCCGAAGCGGTCTAGCTCGCCCCGCAGCTCGTCCGGGGGGCTCGGCCCGCAGGCCCCGCCCGCGGCCCCGCGATGCCCCGCCCACGGCCGTGCGGAAAACGCCCGCGCCAACGCAGGCCGCAGGCCGCCCCCGCCGAGCAGCGCCATGGCCCCCAGGTCGACCCAGCCGCTTCCGCTTCCGGGGCGGGGCCGGACGCGCGCGGAAGAGCGGCGCCGTCGGGGGGCGGGGCGCCGTCGGGGGCGGGGCGCCGTCGGGGGCGGGACCCTCCGCGCGTCCTCTCGCTCCTTAAGCGCCTCCACGCGAGGACGGCGTGGGCGGGGCGCCGTGACCTCTGCCCCGGAGGTTTTTCTCCGAGGCGCGCACGTTGAGCCGCGGGTCGCGGGCCGGCGCGCCGGGCCATGTCCTCCAAGAAGAGCCGCAAGCGGGCGGCGCGCGGCGCCGAGAGCCCCTGTCCCTCGGCCGCGCCGTTCTGCGCGGGGCCCGCGGCTCTGGGCGCCGGGCCGGGTGTGGGCACCGCGACGCTGGCGGTGACCGGCTTCCTGGAGAAGGGTGAGTGGGGCGCGGACCTGAGGCGGGCGGCGGCGCCTGAGGCGGGGGCGCGGGCCTGGGGGCGACGCCGACCTGGGGGGCCGGGCCTGAGGCGGGGGCGCGGGCCTGGGGAAGGCGAGGGGGGCGACGCCGACTGTGGAGCCGGGCCTGAGGAAGGCGAGGGGGGCGACGCCGACTGTGGGGCCGGGGTCTGAGGAAGGCGAGGGGGGCGACGCCGACCTGGGGGGCCGGGTCTGAGGAAGGCGAGGGGGGCGACGCCGACCTGGGGGGCCGGGTCTGAGGAAGGCGAGGGGGGCGACGCCGACCTGGGGGGCCGGGTCTGAGGAAGGCGAGGGGGGCGACGCCGACCTGGGGGGCCGGGTCTGAGGAAGGCGAGGGGGGCGACGCCGACTGTGGGGCCGGGTCTGAGGAAGGCGAGGGCGGCAACGCCGACCTGGGGGGCTGGACCTGAGGTGGGCGGGCGCGGGCTTGAGGAAGGTGAGGGGGGCGACGCCGTCCTGGGGGGCCGGGCCTGAGGTGGGCGGGCGCGGCCGGCCTGTGAGCCCCACAGCCTGAAGCCCCGGGGCCGGGGCGCCGCCGCCCGCGCGGCCTGACCCCCTCCGCTCTCCTTCGGCGCCCCGGGCCGGCTTGGCGCGCGGACCCTTGGTTGGGGCCGCACTCGCGGGCGCCCGCGCTTCCGTCGGGACGGCGGGGTCAGGTTAAATGTGAGTCTTGGGGGTCGTGGGGTGCAGACCCTGAGGACAGCACCCGGGCCTAGTACCCCTGGGGGTTGGCGCCCGGCGGGCGAGGTGAGGTGGGTGCTCGCGGGGGTCGGCCCCGCAGGGGGCTCTCCCCGGTGACCCGGAGGGGGACGCGTCCTGGAAGCCCTGGACCGGCCGGGGCCGGGCGCGGCCGCGCGTGGAGGGGGCAGAGGAAGGCTGGCCGAGCCCGCCGCGCGTCCGGGGAGGCTCGTTGAGGTCCCGGGGCGGGAAGCTTCGCCGGCCTGAGGCTCTCCCGGCCCCTGCTGTTGCCAGCTTAGCTCCCTTCGAGAGACCCCGGCGGGGATGGTGCTGGGAAGCGCCGTTTGCGGTGGCGGAGAAGTCAGGCCAACCCTGGGTTTTGCTTTCATTGACCTGATTCCTTTTTAGGGACAAAGATGGGGTATTTGATTCCCCAGGAGCCCTGCTGTTAGTTAAAACGATCAGGGCATAGATGCCATAGTAAGTCCTGTAACAAAGCTTGGGGCAAGTTGAAAATGTTTCAAGAATTTTGAGCTGAAGAGAAATACTGTGTCCGCGTCCCGGTGTTCACGCCTCTTGTGGCGCTTCCCGTTCAACTGCCCTGTTCGCAGCTGACACTGTCTCCCCCGGTCTGTTTCTTAAAGTTCTCTACAGGAAGGGGGTGGGGGCTCTGAAGGTCATTTGCTTTTGTGCATAGATACCACATTATCTCCCAGCTCAGCTCTTTCTATGTCTGGGCATGGGCACAGAAAGGCTGGCAGGCTCCAGCTTTGCCCCCGAGCAGCGCACGTCCACCCGGGCAGACTGTTAGTGTTAGGATGATAAATGCTGGTACCTGGCCACCCAGGTGTTAGAGTTGGGTGGGGGTGATGGGGATGCCCGTGCCCCATACTGCATAGCCAAATGGGCTAAGTCTCAGAGCTGACTTGGCTTAAAGTCTGTAATATGAAAAGCTCACAGGTCCCCTGATGCAAGTATGTTTAATTCTTAATGTCCACTCCATAAAGTTAGCATTCATTTTGTCAGTGAGCCCTCAAAAAGGTTGGTTTTCAGTCTGGTTTTGGAATCAGAGGGCTGAAACAGTGGTCTCTGGGATATCCCTGGTGCTGTCGTGAGCTTGCGTGGGTAGCGGGTTTTTAATTACTCTAAAATAAAGTGACTATAACTGCATTTGCAAAATTGTATGAGTTTTTTTTTTCCTTTCTGGTAGATGACAAAGTCCCCAAGACTTTCCAGAATTCCCTTGTCCAGCTTGGGCTTAGCACTATGAAGTCTGCAGACATCTGTATAGGCCGCCCAGTGTTGCTCACCAGCGTGCATGGAAAGCAGGAGGTAAGAGGTCTTTTATTCGTTAGTTTAGAAAGAGCTGAGATAGCTTTGATTTTATTTCCAATACAAGCAGAAGTTGATGAAAGTCTGTTTTAAAAGGTACAGCTATATGAACTTGCCCTTCCTGCGATGTTTCGAGTGGCCCTGAGAATAGTAGTAGCCCTTGAATTTGTGAGGTGGAGCGATGCCTTTCCCCAGAGGGGTTGACAACACTCCCAGCATCGCCCCCAGTCTGTTTCTTAAAGTTCTCTACAGAAAGGGGGTGAGGGCTTTGAAGGTCATTTGTTTTTGTACATAGATAGCAGATTATCTCCCAGCTCAGCTCTTTCTTTTTGCGGCCCTTCATGTGTGGACTCCAGACCCAGAGTTGCTACCCTGCCCTGTGTGCCTTTGCTCTGGACTCCTTGGAGTGTCTGCCCGGCGCCCTGCTGTTCTTACATGTCTTTTGGGAGCGAACACTCTAAATGTGTGCGTTTACCTCACTCTGGAGCTAGAAACCTTTGATCTTCTGCACCTTTAGGTCTGATGAGTCCAGGGTCCCAGAGCTTGTTGCTGGCTTTCAGTAATGCTTTCATTTTCTTCTTACCCGTTAGCGCCGTCTTTCTTTCTTCTAAATCTAATTTTGAGATCTTTCACTCTTTTCACTGTGGGGTCATTATTAATCATCAGAAAAAGTTGGAATGCTTATAAAATTTTTTTGAACTGTGTGAGATTATAATTCCTTTAGGGTAAATAATGATTGTTTTTTGCAGAGCATGCCCTTGGAGGTGCCGATCTTTCTGCCTTATCAATTGATGATGCTCTTTGGATGCTGATTTCTGCCTGTTTTTTCCCCCTGTGTTCTGGGCAGGTCTATACAGCCTGGCCCGTGGCTGGATTTCCTGGCGGCAAGGTTGGCCTGAGTGAGGTCGCCCAGAGGAACGTGGGCGTGAGGGTTGGTGATGCCATCCGGGTACAGCCTGTCCTGGGCCCTGTGCTACAGGCTGAGGAGATGGACGTGGCACTCAGGTGAGGAGGGTCGGGGAACTCAGGCGTGGTGCCCTCCCATCAGGACCGGCACTGCTGAGTAGCAGCAGCGCCTCCAGTGTGAACCATGTCTGCAGCACTGAAAAAGTAAGAAACAAATTAATGGCACCAGTGTAGTTTAATGCATGTAAGATCTGATTTTAATATGTAATAACTTAAAAATAATTAAGGTATTGTTCATTCTGTCTTTTAAGCTTCAGTGCTCAGACACCTCAAGTGTAAGGTACCATGGTTGCACATTCTGATTTGCACGGCCACATTTTAAGCACTAGGTAGTGACTACTGTGTTAAATGGCAGAGCCGGAGGATGCTCTGTGATTGTGGGCCTGGGACTCCCATGTACTGTGATGATTTCTGAGGTGAGAGGAAGGAATATTGGTAGATATTTAACTTTTTCATCTTGGTGTGCAGTGTATTTGGGACTTGTGGTTTTTTTTTATTTACAGGTATAAAGGAGTAGATGAGATGACCGAGCGGGCAAGAAACAAGTTTGTCTTGTCAAGCAGAGTACCTGATAGTGTGTTTTAACTCGTTGATTATTCAGCTTATTAAAATAGTAATTTCTGTGATTCCCTGACAAAGACTAATTGTTTCACATCAAGTTGTCAATACAGACTGTATCGCACATTCTCGTAGTTATTGCTTATGGGCTAGGATTTTGATAGTTTGCAGACACAAGTCATATCTGGTTTAAAAGAGCATCTTTTGATGCTTTAATTGCACCATAACAGTTTGGAGATATGTTTTCATTTTATAAATCATATTCTAATCATTGAGCATAATTTTAAATGTTTTCTGCTCTTTCGCTAGATTCCAAGTTGAAATTTTGGTTTCTTTTCTCCTTTAAAAAATGGAGAAGAACGACAGCAGTGCTCCCCACCCCCCCCCCCCCGGGGAGGGGCAGGGCTCCTGTCCAGGTTCCATGAGGCCTGGGCTGCAGGGAGAAGCCACCTGCTGATTGGATGTGTGGTGGCTCCAGCTAGTGAACCTGAGGGCGCAGTCTGTAGGTGCTGACTGTTGCCTGTTCTGGGGGAACTGTGAGTTTTAAGCGGAAGCATGGTTTTTAAAATTTTATTGTAAAAATGTCATGTTTTAAATGTGGCAGCAGAACTTAGACAAGAAGTTAATTTCCAGTAAGAAAAAACAGGAATTTAATCTGCTGCTTAAGCCTTTTATTGCATTTGTAATGTTTCTTTAGTTAGGCCAGAGCTCCTTCTAGTGGAGATGATTTTATCTGCACCATTCTTTTTTACAAGGCAGAATTGGTTGTTTTTTTACATGTTTGTAAATTTTTTTTCTACTTAGTTTAATAAATACAAACAATTCACTGTAATTGTATCTGGAGTCCTATAAACAGAAGCTAATTTAAATATTTAAGGAGATACTTAGAATTTCTTCATTTGGTTTGTGACATTTTCTCATTTCTTTTTTATATAAACACAGTTGATTCTCATTATTCCCAGTCATTACATTCTGTAAAGTTGCCATGAATGCTAACTTAGCAAATACTGAACAATGCTGGAGTAAATGTGCATATTTATATTTATTCTATATATAAATACATAAATTATGTGTATTTTGTATCCGTTGTGATCTTCAATCCTTACAGCACTCATTCTGGAAGATTATATTTTCCTTATTTTACAAAGAAAAGAGGGGACTGACAAGTGTCAGCTGCCTTGCCTGAGACCCCACTAACGGATGCAAAAACTGAGGTTCAAGCCCTCCCTTCTCCAGTGCTGAGACTTTCTGCTTGGCCTTGCTGCTCCAACCATCTCTCTCTGCCTCCCTTGGTCCTCTCTGAGAGTTGAGACGAGAAGCCTTTTCAACTTTAGCTGGGACATTGTCAGGCAACCGAGTTTTTTTTTGCATGTTTTGCACATATCCGCTGACCCCGGGGAGCCTCGCTGGCACTGAGTTGGGGATTGTAGCGACATTTCAGCAAGTAGGTGAATGGCAGGTTCATTATCGGCAAATAAGGAGGATCATCTCTCAGCTCCATTATTGATAAAGTGATTGGAAACCAGGCTGAGAGCGTGACACATGGGTCTGCTGGCTTTTCCTCTGCTGGGGTGCCCTCCTCCTCTGGTCTGGCAGCGCCTACGCGTGGAGGAGCAGGGAGATGCTCAAGATCTGAGAACTGAGAATGGTCTCTGCGCGAGTGTGTGGGTGCTGGGGTGCCTGCTTTCCAGGCCCCTGAAGACAGGATCCTGTAAGAAGACGGGATCTCATTTTTCCTTAGATACGTGCTTTCTGCAGCGTAAACTTCTGCACTGTTGTTTTCCTTATACCTGCTTCTGAAGAGAATGTGCTGTATAGGCTTTAGCTTGTTAGAATTTAATTATTTTGGAAGGGAATGAAGTAAGCTCTTAATAAAAGCCTTTCTCCAAGCTGGGCAGGTTCAGAAAGGAAATGATTAATTTAGGCCAGTATTTGTCAGATGTGTACTATAAATAGTACAATTTTCATCATGTTCCTCACACGTAGACAGCCACAGATAAGATAAATGTATCTACTCATGTGTGGCACTGTTGTTCACATGAGTCAGTAGGGGTGTGGGTGTGTATAAGGAAATATTATTTACCAAGCAGTATTTACCCTTTCTATGTGTCATGTAATCTGATGTAATTCTCTTAAAAAACCTGCTGTATGGGGGTGACTGGAATGATTGTTGGATTCACTTAACAAATAGTACCCTATATTTGGAGGAATGCTGATTGAGGCCATAGGGCACCAAATTGCAAGTACTATTTCATGGCTATAAGAAGTATCTGAGAAGTAAAAATCAGTCCAGAATTGCAAATCATGCCCAGGTTGTAAAAACCGTTCTGTTGAATAGGTGTGCATGGTGATCATCAGCGTGTCACTGTAAGACATTTCAGGTTCTGCTGCGCTCACTGCTGATTTCTGTTCTTACCCCACCCTTACAGTGAGAAAGATGCGAATGTTAACGAAGACCAGTTGGCTGGTTGTCTTCTGAGAAAGCTAGGTGAGACATACTTTAAAACTTAAGAAACAGAGCAGCAACAAAGACGGGATGTGTTTTCGAGGTCTTGTGTACGTCACAGTGACCGTCACAGCAGTGGGGAGCGCAGCCTGCGTGAGCGAGCGTCCTGTGGAGATGGGGGTGTGTGGCTGCCCGCATGGACTGATGGCAGTGTGTACATCTGTGGCTCGTCTGTGGACAGGCCTCGGGCACACTTACTCTTTCGTCAGAAGGATTGGTTTAGATGTGCACTGTATGTCAGTTTGTTATGGAAGGCGGAATGCCTAGCTATTTTGTTGATGCATTTGATAGAGTCCACGCTGAACTGAGTGTAGAGAATCTAAAATCATCTGGTACTTTTCTGTCCCTTGACAATGCTCTAAATAGGGGACAGTTAGGGCTGTCAACACCCGAGATGATTGTTGATTTAGTCTTTTCAATCCCATGCTTTTTTTTTTTTTTTTTTTTTTAAGATTTATTTATTTATGCATACAAGTACTGGGAGTAGGCCAGAGGTATGGGGGGGGGGCAAGAGGATTCGCCAGAGACAGAGTTGGGGGAGCAGAACAGGCAGATCTACTAAAATCCACTGCTGAGGGGGGCAGCGGGGAGACAGGAGTGGTCTGCTGCACCCTGTGAGTAGCTCCCTGGCCAGAGGTCAAACTCAGGCCGCAGTGGTTGGTGATAGCTTCGTAGTGCTGAGACTTTAAACCCGCACCACCAGGGAGGCCCCAGTCAAATGTTTTGGGTTTTTTTTTAGTAGTTGACAGAAATTGTTATTTAAATGTTAGATGGCTAAAAATTGTGCTGACATATATAATGAATTGCTTTCTAGATGGCAAGATTGTTATTCCAGGCAACTTTCTGTATTGTACCTTCTATGGACGGTCGTGTAGATTGCAAGTGTTGGGAGTGAGAGGGGCCGATGGCCTGATGCTGAGGAGGCCTCAGAGCAGCTCTGACCCAGACGTGCAGGGAATGGCCTCCGAAGGGCCCAACGCAGAGACCAGCACCCTGGACTTACCTTTGCAGCTGAGCCAGTTGGGGCTGGAGGATTCCCTGAACCCAGCATCAAGCAGTACTCCGTGCAAGCCCCCAGATGACAGAAGCATAAATAAAACTGCTGACACTGTGTCAGCTGTTCCACAAAGTCCTGGGAACGGCAGTGGGCTTGGACTTGAGGAATCCACTGATCTGAAATGCAGTTTTGAATCTGCCAGAGAAGGAAGAGAGCAACCTATGGATGAAGAGAGAGTGTTGAAATCAGCCTATCTGGGAGCAAAGTGCAACACCGATACTTTTTATTTTCTCTCTTCAACAACAAGAGTCAATTTTAAAAAGACACATGCAAATTCAAAAGACCAAGACGGCCAATTCAGAGTAACTTATGACATGATAGGAGGCTTAACTAGTCAACTGAAAGCAATACGGGAGATGATCGAGTTGCCTCTCAAACAGCCGGATCTCTTCAAGAGCTATGGTATGACGGCACCCGGCAGTGTGCGCGCCTCCTGGAGGCCGGAGGGCTCCTTCCGCGTGCCTCCTCCAGCCTTCCTGCTTTGCTTTCCTGAGCGGCAGTCATGGTGGGGGTTGAGTGGCTTTGGGAGGTGCCATTCGGTGCGCTTTTCTTTCTCTGCTCGGTCTTTGGGTTGTCCTGTGATTTTCGAGCTTCCACAGTTACTCCTGCTGGCGCTAGAGTCAGTGTCCTGTCGTGCCGCATCACTGTAGCCCCGGCATCGGAGCTGCTGGGTAGACTTGTAGGAGCTGAGCTCGGTGCAAACCTCTTGGCATGACATGATGGACTGACTGGCTCTAGGGGCCTGGCTGCCTCCCTGTGGTTTCCTCCGAGGCCCTCTGCAAGTGTTGGGTGCATTCCACCTTTTCCTCTCCACTTTTGCCTTCTTCATGAGCCTTTACGTCGAATGAGCCCTCACATGAACAGTTTGTTCGTAGTTCTCTGAGAGGGATGGTCAGGTGAAGGTTGGCATTGGGGGTTTACATTGGCTGCCCTGGGTGTCTGGGCTTTGTGTTTTGGTTGCTGTCCTGTGCTCCGTGGAGCTGGAGCTGGCGGGGGATGGGTGGGAGTGCGGCGGCCAGTTTTCCCAATCTGCCTGGCCTGGCTGTGTCTCCAGAGAGAAAGAGTTGTGTTTGGCCTAGTTAATGAGGCTGTTTCTTGGGGAGGGGGTTCTGGGGGGGTTGGAGAAGACTTGACTCTTAGTGTGATGATGTAGATAAACTTGTATTCCAGAACTCGGGTTCTGTGATACAGTAGTGCTGACGCCACCATTCTCTTTTTATAGGTGTTCCTCCCCCAAGGGGGGTGCTGCTGTATGGCCCACCCGGCACAGGGAAGACCATGATTGCCAGGGCTCTTGCTAATGAGGTTGGAGCCACTGTCTTTGTCATTAACGGCCCTGAGATTATAAGCAAGTAGGTGCCAGATGGCGTTAACTATACTTCTTAAATGTTCTTTTAAAAAATGGCTGCATAGGATTCTGTTTGGATATTTCATATGTTGAAATATTTTTACTTTGCCATTTAACATGTATTAATAACTAAGTTTGGATATAAGTTTTGAAAGTGATTTTAAGTATTCTGGGAATATTTAAAGACTCAGATGAGATTTTTAGGCAGATCTTAAAAAACGAGTGGGTCCTTAAATGTATTTTATTTGTTACAGATTCTACGGGGAGACTGAAGCAAGGTTACGGCAGATCTTTGCTGAAGCCACTTTGCGGTATTCTTTATTTTAGGTGTTTGCAGCCAGCAGTCAAGTCCACGTTAAAGTAGAAACACTAGCATTTTATATGAAGCCTGAAAGAATAGTGGGGAAGTAATAATGGTAGCACAGGATGTAGACTGTGTGTCTAGTAAAATTCTAATTACTGTTGCTTTGGAAGTTTGGTAACTCTCAATAAATTATATAATGTGGAAGAATTAAGACTGTTGCTTGGAAAGTTACATGATTCTATGTGTATACATAAGTATGTGGTTTTCTTTCCAGTACTTAGACGTGTAACTAAATTCTCTGTAGTTTAGGGCATCAGTCTAACTGGTCCCCTAGCTTTCGATCATAGAAACCCTTTATGCTTAAAACTTTTTTATGCTTTGCTTCAATGGGACATATCTTTTGCTCTTTAAAATCTAACTTTATCACTTCTCAGTTAAGGCTATTGCCTGACGCTGTGACATGTAGCAGAGTCTGTAGCTTGGTCTGGACTGTGGCCACGTTGACATCATTGAGACGTTTGACTAGACTCTGACTCCTGCGCTCTTATCAAAAGAAACTTCTAAGGTTTTTCCCCCAATGATAGTAGATGGAATAAGTCGTCTGTAGTCCCCGTACTGCAGATTTGAGCCCAGCAGTTGTGGCTGTATAGTGTGTTTTTGTTGTTACATTGTGATATTCCTGGCAGTTGAGGTTTCCTCTTGCAAGAAAATTTATCTTTTTATGGAGGAATTGATCTTCTTGAAGAGTTCTTTTTAAAAGTAGGTTTTTGAAAAAGAGCATTTCTCCATTGTACCTTTGAATTTTAACCTCCTCTAAGGGGACAGTGTCGCTACCCGGGCATCATACACCAGGCTGGGCATTGGCGGCCCCATCCTGAGGGTGGGCTCCACTCGCGTGAACAGCACCCTGGGCTCAGACCTGCTGCTGAGGGCAGAACCATTAGATGTGGCCGTAGAGAGGCAGTAATTTGGGCCAGAATTATTCTGAGATTTTCCAGCTTAACAGCCTGTTGCCTTTGTCTTTAGTGATAAGTAAATCCTAGTTTTGTTGGTTTGAGTTTCAATTAAAAAATCCAGATATCGTAATTTCAGTTGATAATTGGGATGTAAAATAACCAATTTAAAGGTGAAATCTATTATTCATTTTATTTTGTTTTTAGGCGCCCATCAATTATTTTTATTGATGAGCTGGATGCACTTTGCCCTAAAAGAGAAGGGGCTCAGAATGAAGTGGAAAAAAGAGTAGTGGCCTCACTCTTAACGCTGATGGACGGTGTTGGTGCAGTAAGTACAGGCTGGTCCCGGCTGTCCGGGGTGGTTCTTAGCAGCCCGGGTGTCACGGCACACGTGGTCACGTGTGTATGGGTTTGTGGGTTTTCTGAGATAAGGCAAAATACTTGCTATAAAAACTAGGGGAAAGTTCCACAAAATAGTTTTGTTCAGCAGATTCCTTACTCCTTGGGCACTGTGAGCTGGTGTGTTTTTCTGGTACCAAGTAACTTGCAGTGATTTTCTTTTTCTGTAATAAATAGCATTAACTTAAAAATTTGAGGTAGAAATCAGTAGCAAAGACTAGTTGAATTTGAATAGATTTTACTAAGAAATTTCACGAGCAGGTTTTATTACTCAGGAAAAATTATTTTGGGATTTTACATTTAAAAAGCTGAAGGAGAGAAAGTGAGAGACATGAAAGTGCGTTTTTACCACACTTCAAGGAACACATCCTTGTTACCACAGCCCCTTGTGGGGCATCGTGCGCTCCCATTGCTGAGGGCTCTGCCCAGGGCACGTGCTCTTGCTTGTCAGGACTGTGCCTGAGGTGCGCTCACGTCCATCAGGACTGTGCTGGTCGTGAAGGGAGACAGCAGAAATGACAGCAAGGGACAGAAAGATTCCTGTGGCTGATAATACCGTCACAAGAACATACTTCATATGTAGGGTTGGAAATAACTCATGTTTTAAAATTATCATGGTGGAATTGAAAGATTTTAGAATTGATCTAGTCCCAAATCATCCTCTTTTTGCACATTAAAATATCAGACAGTAAGGACTGGTTTTTGTTGCCTGTTGGTAGAAATTGCACATTGAAGGTTTTGTTATGTGCCGCTATTGCAGACATGTTATCATTTGAAGAGTCACACAGCAGCGGGCTTGTTACTGGGGAGGCCACATGGCCACCTGGTTCACAGTCCTGGGCAGTACTAGGTGAGGCCCTGAGGTTTGGTTCTCAGCTGATGAAGCTGGAGCGTTCACGTTGTTAGCGTGTTGGGGATGATGGGGTTGTGGGGACTGACCCATAACATCGGCATCCAGAAGATATGGCCAGTTTGTCCATTTCAGTAAGAAGGTAGCTCTTCAGCCGGCCGGCTGTCTGTTCATGGAGGACCCCAGTGTCAGCCGGCAGGTAGGTACCTGGAGGGTGAGCTTGCTGGAGGGCTGTTGGAATAGCTGCTCGCCATGCCCGTAGCTGCTTTTCTGCCCTGGGCAGGGCCTGCTGTGCACAGGTTTCCTGTCTTTGGTTGGGGCTGGAAGCAGGTGGCTGATGCTTAAACTTGAAACTATTTGAGCGAATGTATATGTCTTGCAGATGCAACGGGCCCGTTGTAATCACGCACATCCCATGTAATTGTTTAGGTTTGACTTTACTTTGTCACCAGTCACAGTCCAGTTCTGTTGTCTCTGAGGTTACACTTGAGTTATCCAGATACAGTGTGGGGTAATTTCCATAGGCGACTGGTCTTTATGATGTGTTCCAGATTTCCTTCTCAGAATAATTATCCATATGTAGATCAGGGTGACTCACACTCAGGTGCTGATTATATTGTGTCTGTTTTCAGGAACTTAAAAATTTATCCAAATTTGGGCCTCCCCGGTGGCGCAGCGGTTGAGCGCTGGGTTGCGAAGCTGCGCGCGGCCTCTGCGGCGCCGGTTCGATCCCCGGCTGCTCCCCGGCCACCTGAGGAGGGTCCCACATGGCGCGCAGACCTCTCCTGCCGCCCGCTGCTCCCCTCAGCAGTGCACTTCGGTCCTTCTGCCTGCTCTGCTCCCCGCTCTGGCTCTGGTGAATTCTCTCGCCCTCCCGCGCTTCTGACTGTACCCAGTGCATGTATAAACAAAACAAACAAAGAAACCAGCAAACAAATAAATAAATAAAGCATGCCTCTATAAAAAAAAAAAAAAATTTATCCAAATTAGCAATAAGCAAACTACAATTTATGAAGATTTCTTAGACAGCTGACTAATAAAGCCTTGTTCTGTTTAACTAATTTGTAGGTTATGATCTTGGCTTTTGAGTAGGGGGGACAGACAACATAGAACAGTTACGTTGAGCCAAGGAGAAGGACGTTCTATTACTCACAAGAGTGGTGTATGTCAGACACTGGAGCTAGGGGAGACAACACTTAATAGTAGCTCTGAAGGCGAGTAATAAAAATGTCAGAATAGGCCTCTGCTGCCCGGACAGTTTGGATCATCCTTGTTTATAGCCAGTTCCCAGATCAGTAGCTCTGTATTTTACTTTTAGAGAAATAATGTGATTTTCATTTGTTTGGTCAGGAGGGAAGTGAAGGGCAGGTATTGGTTCTTGGGGCCACAAATCGCCCTCACGCCTTGGATGCTGCACTCCGAAGACCTGGGCGATTTGATAAAGAGATTGAGATCGGAGTCCCAGATGCTCGGGACCGGCTTGATATCCTACAGAAGCTGCTTCGGCGGGTGCCCCACGTGCTCAGCAAAGCTGATCTGCAGCAGCTGGCCCGCAGTGCTCATGGCTACGTTGGCGCTGACCTGGGAGCCTGGTGCCACGAAGCAGGTGCGCGGGGCTGGGGTGTGTGTGTGGGGGTGTGGTCTGTGCTCTTAACTTGTCACACTCACTGATTTCTTCATGGAATAGCTCATTTCCCTGGTAATCAAATATGTGGTTAGTGAATTTAATTTCCATGATTTAGAAAACTGTAAAAAAAGAAATAGTCACTCTTATTCCTCCTTCCTAAAAATAACCACTGTGATAAAGTGTATCCTTCCAGACTCTGAGTGTGCACACGTGTCACCATATGCATTGATGACAGTGGTGTTTTGTAGATACTGTTCTAAGGAGGTTAGGGTGAGGTGCCTGCAGGAAATCCACATTGCCCTTAAAAAGCGGCATAGTATTTGTTGAAGTGCTGAAAAGGTACACACTCAGCCTTGTGCCTCGGATCCTGTGACATGATACTTGGATGAAAGTGCTGAGACTTTATTCACCACTTGCCTCTGTGACTTCAAGAACATTACCAGGTCAGAGCTGTGATTACTTCAGAAGCTCTTAAGATCCTTTAACATTTTCTTGATTTTTTAGAGTAATTTCAGCGATGGACAGTGTATTTCAAATTGGCAGTTTTTATAAACATATTTGATGGGGCAAGGAGGAATTTACTGAAAAATAGCTGATGGCTTTTTTCCCCTATTGAGGATATATTTATTTTCCAGTTACTTCTCAAGGCTGGGAGTCCGTTCTCTGGGGGGCCTAGTTCTAAGTCCTTTAATGCTGGCAAGGATTTTTCTTTCAGTTTGTGACCTGTCTGTATGTTATAAGGTGCTTCTGAGAATTTAAACTGGTAGATAATGGAGGAGATTGAATTCTTAGATTGGAACACTAGTCATTTTACAGCTTTAGCATGGAAATCTGGCTGCTTTAACTACAAATCACTGATCCATAGTTGTCTTCATGTAGTAGGCTTTGAAGACTGTTCCATTAGTCCTTTCATTCTGATTTTACCTGATAGATGCAGGAAAAGAGCGTAGGGAATTAAAAAGTCAAGGGAGAGAGAACTCCTGGAAAACTGGTAGAATCTTTGAATAGCTTTCTCTTGGTGAAGAAAATCAATTTTGTTTCTTTCTGTGGAATCACTTCCGCAACTTCTATGTTAGAGGACTCGTGGGGAGACTGCAGCTTGGGTCCTCCTGTAGGTGTGTGCAGATACGCTGCTGCTAAGTGAGGCTCCTGGGCAGCCCTGTCTGTCTGGTGTCTGTGCTGCTCCTTTCACAAGGAATGGTGGACTTTTTGTGGTGCACCAGAGTTCCTGGTACTCAGGAAGCAGGCGTGTCAGCGGGTAGCTGTTCCTTTATCCATGAAGTGATGATGAAGGCAATGGTGATGGGGCACTGCTCTGGACTGCACGGGGCATCCGGCAGGGCGTCAGTCTTCTGCATCCCGAGTAAGACGTGAGGACACTTCATGCACTTCAGAAGGCACTGTGATTCTCGTGGTCCAGAAACACAGTCTGATGAAGACAGATGATAAGTACTGTAAAAAAAATACGGAAAATTCATGACGTCCCCTATGGCTTACATTGAAATAGTGACAGAGATGAACTAGCTTCAAGAGACACTTGTACAGGCGGAATGAGCCATTGAAAAGGTGGAGAAGGGAAGGCAGTGCCTCATCTAGACTCACGAGTACCCGTGACGGAGCGGTCCGCTGACTTGAGGTCTTGTGATAGGTGCATGCGGGTCAGGACCCAGGGTCATCTCAAGCCAAATCTATGCCCTTAATCAAAATTAATCTTGACACACTCACCAAAAGGCCTGATGTTTTAGAGCTTGCCCTCTTCATGTAAAAGCAGCTGTATTTTGAAATGTTTTATCTCAGGTTTACAAGCCAAACTCTGACACATGCTGACGTTTAGTGTCTGTGTTCCTGCTGGGATTGGGCTGCCTTTCAAGTGAATGAGTTGCGTAGTCTATTATTAATTCCCGCTGATTCATAATGTTTTAAAGTAGCGGCGTGGATTAGCATGCCACACTTTTGGGCATCATGAAATGTCAGTTACATAGCAGCCACATGGATGTGCAAACTCTGCTGAACTGGGGAGACCCTTAGCAAGTTTTCCCCAAACTCAGGAATTTATTATAAACTTGTCTTCCTCAGGCTGCCTGTGCCATTTCAGGAGAGTGACCGTAAATAGAACCCGGTTTCTTCAAGAAGTGGAGCCAGTCCTTCTGTTTGCACTGAAATAAAATATTTGCTTCCTATCCCTTCAGAATTTATCTTTAGCATCCTTGCTGATTTCATGTCATTTCAGCGCGTCCATACCTAATACTTGGGTCTCGATAAGAGAGTATCAGTAGAACCGGAGAATTAAAACTTACTTAAACAGTGATTATGTCTTTCAAGTCAGTCTCATCTTGATATTGAGTCTCTTGCAGCTTTCCTTCACATTGAAAATTTATCTGTCCTGTACCAGAGTTTTTGAGATATTTATAGCTGTCAGTTCTCCCCCTTCATTAGCTGGTTTTAACAGGAGTTTATGGAGGTCCTGTATACAAAGTCCACAGCAGGCTGGCTCTTAGGAATGTTCTTGTTCTGACATTTCTCATTGTTTGAATTCTGCCAGTACTGTTTTTGAAGTTAGGGTGAAAACACTGATTCCAAAAAATTTCAGTATTTTCTAATGAAGTTCAAAGAAATGGTGTGGTTTAGTGGAGAGCTATGGTGAGCTCCATATTCCAGTGCTGTAAGCACTGCCCTTTATAGCCAAGTGGCCCTGGGTTCACCTGCCTGGCTGTTTCCTCCCCTGTGAACGGGGCTGTAGCACCCTTCTTGGGTGGCGTGCAGATCCAGCCGTCCACGTCCTCCTGGCTCTTACAGGCCTGCATTTGTGAGGAGGTGTTGGTGATCCTAACGGCCAGCATAGCAGAGTTCTCTGCCCTTCCGGAGGGGAGATGACACTGACTGCAGCGGGGAGGGTCCTGCCCACTAATGAGAACAAGCAGACTGGAGGGGTGTGGGCGGGGGGCCAGTGATGCCATCCAGGTGTGTCCTGGGCGCGGTCCTGTGGGCTAGGAGGGACACAGGGCACAGGGGTTTGGGGCTCTTCTGTCAGGACCTGCACTGCCCAGCAGCAGTATCTCTAGTGAGAACCTTCTCTGCAACGTGGCATTTCTCTTGTTGCATTGAAAAAGTAAGAAACAGAAATTAGTGGCACCAATGTAGTTTAATCAGTATATGTAAAATCTTATTTTCATATATAATAACATAAAAGCACTTAGTTGACGAGTGTGTTTTCGTTCTGGTAACGGCTCTTGCTGGAGTGATTGTATCTGGGTGGTGACATGGACTGGAGGGAAGGTGTCTTGTTCTGGAAAGAATGTGTTGGCATTAGGCTGCCTGAGGCATTTTGCCTTCTCTCAGTTTACTTTCGTTCTCCACCCTCAAAACTTTTGAGAGCACGGGAAAATGATGAAAACAAAATGACACACTTATTGTTTAATTAGCTATACCTGATTTTTTGTTTCAAAGTTGTTTAAGAATGTAGAAGTATTGGTTCTCTTTTTTGTTTACATTTTTAAATTTTAACTCTAGGGCCTCCCCGGGGTTGAGCACAGCTCTGTGAAGCTGCCGCAGCCTCTGCAGCATGGGTTCGATTCTGGGCCAGCTCGGGAGCTACCCACATGGCGCGGCAAACCTCTCCTGTCTCCCCGCTGCTCCCCTCAGCAGTGCTTTCGGTCAGTCTGCCTGTTCTGCTGCCCACTCTGTCTCTGGTGAATCCTCTCACCCTCCCGCGCCTCTGGCCTATAACCCGGTTGTTGTATAAATAAATAAATCTTTAAAATAAAAATTTTTCACTCTAAACTTTGACCCTAGTAAGGAAAGGAAAGCACATGGATTGCCTGCTCTCAGCCCTCTTCCTTGTTGTTATTGTGTCCATCTGCTCTAGTGAGTTGTTCATTTTTGATTTATAAATACGCATGTAATTTGTTTATTTTTATTTTTACTTATTTTTTTTAAAGATTGATTGATTGATTGATTGATTGATTGATAGAGACATACAAGCACTGGGTACAGTCAGAAGCGCGGGAGGGTGAGAGGTCTCACCAGAGCCAGAGCGGGGAGCAGAGCAGGCAGAAAGACCGAAGTACACTGCTGAGGGGAGCAGCGGGCGGCAGGAGAGGTCTGCGCGCCATGTGGGACCCTCTTCAGGAGGCCGGGAAGCAGCCGGGGATCGAACCGGCGCTGCAGAGGCTGCGGGCAGCTTCGCAACCCAGTGCTCAACCGATGCGCCACCGGGGAGGCCCTATTTTTATTTTTTTAAAGATTTATTTATGCTTTCAAGAACTGGGGTACAGGCCAGAGGTGGGGGGTCAGCGAGAAGAGTCACCAGAGACAGAGCAGGAAACAGAACAGGCAGACTGACTGAAAGCCACTGCTGAGGGGAGCAGCGGGGAGACACGAGAGGTCTGCTGCTCCACGTGGGTTAGCTCCCCTGGCTGGGAATCGAACTCCGCCACAGCAGTGACAGCCTGAGACTGACTCCCGGGCCACCACAGAGACCCGCATCATCGAATTTTAAAGCTGAGAAAATGTATTTGAATGTTTCCAAATATTAATAAATGAAGCTTTTCATCGGGAGTGGCCTGTGCTAATGGCAGATCTGGAGCAGGGTTAGTTTTTGGAAGCTGATACACTTTTGACATTGAGCTTATATGAAATCTGTTCAACTTCCGTGTTGTTTTCAAGAGTAGCGTCTGTGTGAACTGGAGGGCCTTAAAATAGAGTCTGCACCCGCAGAACCTCAAGGCCCTGGCAGCAGTGACCTTTTTTACAGCTTTTGCAAGTCTGTGATCTTCTATATTGTTCTTCCTTCCTTCCGTCCAGTCAGCTGTCCTGTATCGTGTCTCATACCTGCAGTCGCTGGGGAGGGCTGGGGTTTGCTTTACTTCAGCCATGTGTTTCCTCCGCCTGCCAGTCGGGGCTCTGTCTTGTTCCCCGGGTATGTGCGCGCTCGTCCAAGGCCTTCGTCTGTCCTCTTCCTTCTGCCTGGGATGCGCGTTGCCGCTTTGGCGCCAGGCCCCGTGGTCGCACGGGTTGAGTTAACACCGGTTTATTTTTCATCTTTAATGACTGCACCCTTCAATTGTGAAATACTGGCGTGCGCGCGCTGATGTCTGCGAGGGTTGTCTAGCCTGCCGCTAAAGCTCAGCGGCTTAGAAGTCCCCACGTGTGTTTCTAGGGCTTTGTTCTTCCCTGGCATCATGCTCGCCGCAGTCGCTCATGTGGCGGTGCTTCGTGTTTCCTCAGAGCTGAATTTGCCTCTTTACTGTGTGTCCCTCGTGGAGCGCTCGGTGCATTTGTGGAATAAATTGTTGTGTCTAAGAGGTTCTCTGACTGTTCGGGGTGAGTGATGAGGTGGCTCAGTATTGGAGATGGGCAGGTGTGCTCGGGAGAGTAGCTGCGCGGCGGCTCCGGGTCGCTGAAGTGGCAGGTCAGTCTCGCAGACACACACGGACGGCTCCCTTCCGGGGGGCTGTGCTCAGAAACGTGCAGATTTGCTCATGTGAAGACTGCTCTCCTCTCTCGTCCGGTCCTGCACCGTCTCCTCATTCACCCGCCTGCAGCGCGCCATCTCTCCGTGGGACTGCGCTCTGGGAGCGGCTGCGCCGGAGGACGGCTCCCACTTGGACACTGTGCTAGAAACCCTGCGTGCACATTGCCTGAGGCGACGTGTCCTGCGGAGGTTCCAAGGCTGTTCAGGGCTTTTGTGTAGACAGTTCGCTCGGCCCTGTCTGGGCGTCTCCTGAGTCACCGTGGTGCTGCTTATTCTGCCAGCCTGTGCTAGGGGGTGAGTAGTGCTTGCGCTCCAACAGTGAGATGTTGGGGGTCAGCGTCATTGCACCCCAGTGGATGCATAGATTTGAGGTAAGAAGATATTTAAACATACATTTCTGAAACTGCCAGCTGCCCGTGTCCCTTAGACCAACTTCTGTGCGGTGACTGTTTTTCTTCTCTTTACTTGGCTTCTTACATGATTTGTCTTTTTAATAAACTTTCTGAATTCTTACGCAGAGAGATTCACAAACTTATGAAGGAAGGCGCTCACGTGCCCCGCCAGTTAAGACCCAGAGCCCCTCCTGGCCTCGCGCGCCCCCAAGGCGCCGCTCCCGCCTGGCTTTCCCTGCTGGGTGCTCCTCTCCCTCCTTCCCTGTGGCTCAGGACCTGCTCTGGGCTCCCCTCTGCTGCGCTCCGTTGTGTGAATGTGGAGGACGTGACTCTATTGTCAGCTTCTGGAAACTCTAGGTGTCTTCATTCCTTTGGCTTTTCTTTCTTGTCTGGTAATCAGCGCATGTTATTTCCGTCTGCATGGGTGTGGGTTTCCCCAGCTCTCCATTCCTTAGTTCATATTTTAAATTGTAGTGGCTTTATAATTGTGAACTTGTAAGAGCGTATATGCTTTTGAAATCCAGGTATAGGGCCTCCCCGGTGGCGCAGCGGTTGAGCACTGGGTTGCGAAGCTGCCCGCAGCCTCCGCGGCGCCGGTTTGATCCCCGGCTGCTCCCCGGCCTCCTGAGGAGGGTCCCACATGGCGTGCAGACCTCTCCTGCCGCCCGCTGCTCCCCTCAGCAGTGTCCTTCGGTCCTTCTGCCTGCTCTGCTCCCCGCTCTGGCTCTGGTGAATTCTCTCACCCTCCCGCGCTGCTGACTGTACCCAGTGCTTGCATAAATAAATAAATAAATAAATAAATAAATAAATAAATAAATCTTTAAAAAAAAAAAAAAAAGAAATGCAGGTATACCTGCCCTTTCTAGATCCCTTCCTAAATGGAAATACTTGGTCTCCTTTATTGTCAGATTTCATGCTCACGTGGCACTATCGTGGCGGCAGATCGAGTCAGCTCTTCCCTTGTCTCAGCGCTGCCTGGTCACCTAGAAATGCTGGCGGGGTCGCCGACCACCATCTGGGCAGAGGAAGAGACAGATTGCTGTGGTCTTGATGACTTACATTTATGTTAGATTTTTTTTAGAAACTGGTTAACACTCTTCAGGGCACAAAGATGTTATTTAGTACAACATGTTGCCAGATGACTGCAGTTGTACTTACTGAGGTTTTTTATGCTCTGCACCATTTAGCTAAAACTACTGCGCTGTGAAACAGTCTAAAATGAACTTTGAGTGTTTTCTGCTTACAAGCTCTTCAGTTTCACAGTGCGTGTGTAATAGAGGACTTGGTATCTGGGGTTGCACCAAAGGACACAACGGAAGTGACCGGAAGAGCAGCATCTGAGCTTCCCTCTCACAGAGGGACACCGTGTCCGTGCATGGTGGCGTCACAGGCGTGGGGGTGGGGTCTAGACTGATGAGTTTAACCCTGTAGCCTGGACAGCGCAGGAAGATGGGCAGAGTGAAGAGCGGAGGGACTAGAAAGTCTTGGTGAGAGAGAGCCGACTGACCAGGGGACCGATAACGTGGTGGTGTGAGTTCTCCCCAGCACATTTTGCTATTGTTACCTCTGTCCTCAAGCTCCTTGGCGGGCGGTTGCCAGTAGCCTCTCTCTGTGACTTCTCCCGGGAGTCTCCCTGAGAAGGCCTCTAGTCCATGTTCTGAGCGGCTTTTCTTGGTAGTTTTCAGAAGTCCAGCCCCGCATTTTGGGGGCTTGTACGTGCTTGCCTTGCATCCATTTTTGTTTCTCTATTACAGATCAAATAATGAAAGTAAAATGACAAGTAACGGTGTCCTTTTAATTCAGTAAAATTTTGCTGAATCATAACAGTTAAAAGATGTTTTAAAATGATGGTGCTCAGATATTCCCGCTGGGTTTCTCAGGTCTCAGAGGCCTAATTTCCTTCAGGGTGGGTCTTGTGCCCTGGAACACACAGAGCAAACAGCTCCGGTATCGGTGACCTCCAGCCGCAGGCGGGCGGACCTGGGCTGCCCTGCAGGCTGAGGGCCCTGCCGGCCCGGCACTCAGCCTCAGCTCGTGTCGGGAAAGAGCGGGACTCCAGTCCGGCCACGTTTTCACTCTGAGCCAGAAGCACGAAGAACTTAGCAGCTCTGGCTCTGCAGGTCGGCGTCCTCTCAAGTGATCTGGGTTCGATGCCATTGGCTGTTGGCCCCTGTTGTATTTATTTCTCTGATTCTCCTCCTCTCTGTCTTCCTGATAGTTCTCTCCCTGTGAGCCGTCCTCTCGCCCTGTGCTCTCCACGTGACGGCCTTTCCAGGGCGGGCCTCCAGCCCCCGCCATCCCACCTCCAGGCCTCTCCAGCCTCCCCTCTGCTCCCTTCCACTCTGCTAGCAGCAGGTCTCCCATCCCAGATGGACACACGCAACGCAAGTCTGATTCCAGCCCCATTTCCAGGGGTCAGCTGCCCGTGCTGTGAGCCTTTCTGCCGGTCCCGTGCAAACCTGTGACTCTGGTCTGGATGTGCTGACAAAAAGGGCAGAGGCAAAAAGCGTGTTGTTAAGTTTTAGATGATTGTGGTACACCTCTGTGGCAAGTGGCTTCTGTGTGTGCCTGTGGTGTTTGTGTGTTCTGTGTCATGTGTGAAGGGAGCCTTTTCTCATGTTTGTCTTAACTCGTCATCGCCACATTCTTCCATTGCCTGCCCCTCCTTACACAAGCACGAATATCTAAACGCTGTGGGACGCGTGAGGTCTGGGCCTTTTACTGTTGTGTGGTGGTGGCCAGGTCTCTATCTTTGGGGTAGAAGGTGAGTCTGTGCGGCCTTCCTCCTCGTAGGTCTCTGTGCCTTGCGGAGAGTTCTGAGGAAACAGCCCAACCTGCCTGACAGCAAGGTCGCCGGCGCAGTGAGGGTCACCCTGGACGACTTCCTGCGGGGCGTGAGCGAGGTCAGGCCCAGCGCCATGAGGGAAGTGGCCATCGATGTCCCGAATGTGAGTCAGCTCTGCCCCTGCCAGTCACACAGTGAACTGAACTCTGAAAGGCGCTGAGAGTCCAGAAAAACTCCCTCATCTGCACTTTAAAGACTTGTATTTAATTAAAATTTTTATGGGGATAATTGTAGATTCAATTGCAGTTTTTTTTTTTTTTTTTTAATTTTCTAGAGGCATGTCTTATTTATTTATTTGTTTGTTTGTTTGTTTGGTTGGTTGGTTTATACATGCACTGGGTACAGTCAGAAGCGCGGGAGGGCGAGAGAATTCACCAGAGCCAGAGCAGGGAGCAGAGCAGGCAGAAGGACCGAAGTACACTGCTGAGGGGAGCAGCGGGCGGCAGGAGAGGTCTGCGCACCATGTGGGACCCTCCTCTGGTGGCCGGGGAGCAGCCGGGGATCGAACCGGCGCCGCAGAGGCCGCGGGCAGCTTCGCAACCCAGCACTCAACCACTGCGCCACCGGGGAGGCCCTCAATTGCAGTTTTTTAAGAAATACTGTGGGAGAGCCCTGAACCACTGTCCTAAGTTGTTCACGTTGACGTGAGCTCCGGTCTTGCTCGGCTCGAGTGCTCGTTTCACACGCACTCCTGCTTGTTTGTGTGCACACACGTGTTTCATTTGACGTGGCTTCACTGCCTGCCGAGGTGGGTGTGTGTCAGTCCTCGGGGACGCCTTGTAGCCACGCCCACCTCGCTCTGCCTCCAGCGAGCACCTCTTGGGGTGAGGTTTTGCGTAGCACGATCCCCTGGAGGCCCCTCCACAGCATGTAGAGTGTGTGCGCCGTGGCCGGCTGTGGTATGCCCGCCTTTCCCGTCCAAGGGCATCTGGGCTCTTGTCCAGGTCTGGGCTGTTGCCTTTTTTTTTTTTTTTAAGATATATTTATTTATTTAATGCAAGAACCGGGGTATAGACCGGATGTGCGGGAGGGTGAAAGGATTCACCAGAGACAGAGTGGGAAACAGAACAGGCAGACTGAGGGGAGCAGCAGGCGCGACAGGAGAGGTCTGCCACACCATGTGGGATCCTGGCCAGCCGGCCAGGATTGAACCGGCACCGCAGGCTGCGGACAGCCTCACTGTGAGGCGCTCAACCGCCTGAGCGCCACCAGGGAAGGCCCTCTGGGCTGTTTCGAATACAGCTGCTAGGAAGCCTTGTGTCTGGGCACTGTGGGTGTCAGCTGGTGCTTGTGGGGTCCATGCCCCCGAGTGCACTTACTGGGTGGAGGTGGCCAAATGGCCACCTGCTTGACATCATGTTGACGGTGTCTGGATGTGTGCTCTTCAAGCTGGGCCGTCCTTGTGAGTCTTGCTGCTTCCTCCACATGCAGCTTGTGCAGGGCTCCTGCCTTGTCCTGTGGCCACACACACCCGTGCTCACATGCCACAGCCCCTGCACACCGGGCACAAACATTGCCTGTGGCCCTTTGGCCGCATTTATCTCGGTAGCCTTGCCATTAGCCAGCAGAGCAGCTAATAATGTGTGTGGAGTGGCTGAATGGATGTTTCAGGAGGCATTTTTTAAACATTATTAGTTTTTCAGATAACGTGTGGAAATATTGAGGAGGGCCCAGATATTGGCACCTCACTTTAAACTGTTCAACAGAAAATTAAAAAATAAAGTGTGTGCGCTGTTCGGGTGCACATGTGAGGCAAAGCTGGAGCCCCCACTAAAGCAAATAATGGCAAATTTTTAAAATTGGTGTATTTTGGGAGAGTATTTGTGCTTCTGTTGTATTGACTTTTTTTTTAGGGTTTATTTTATGTATTTATGCATACAAGAGCTGCGGTGCAGGCCAGAGGTGTGGGGGTGGTAAGAGGACTCACCAGAGACAGAGTGGGGAACAGAACAGGCAGATCCACTGAGATCCACTGCTGAGGGGAGTAGCAGGCAAGTCAGGAGAGGTCTGCTGTGCCGTGTGGGTCACTCCCTGGCTGGCCAGGAATTGAACTCGTGCTGCAGTGGCTGCAGACAGCTTCATAGATTGCGTTTTAACCCTTGTGCCACCAGGGAGACCCCGAGGGTTTTTTTTCTTTTTTTAAAAAGGATTCTGATTCTTAGATGCTTCTGTTTCCTCTTGCTTTTTTTTGTGCTTATTTTTACTCTGTCCTGTCAACACCTCTATTTAGAAAATATCCTGTTCTGCAGGTGTCCTGGGCAGATATCGGAGGACTGGAGAAGATCAAACTGAAGCTGAAACAGGCTGTGGAGTGGCCCCTGAAACACCCTGAGTCCTTCGTCCGCATGGGCATCCAGCCGCCTCGAGGGGTTCTCCTGTACGGGCCGCCCGGCTGCTCGAAAACCATGATCGCCAAGGCCCTCGCCAGCGAGAGCGGACTCAACTTCCTGGCCGTGAAGGTGGGTGTCGTGTGGCCTCCTTGCTGCTCTCCGTTCCTGCCCGTTGGGGACATGGGGTGGCGTCCTAAGGGGAAGGGTGTTATTTCAGGTTCCTGAGTGAATGTGGGTGAGGTTTTAGGGTTGTGTTTTGACAGGAACAAACAGTGTGATTTTAGACTCCCCACCCCTGGGTGTTTACGTGCCCGAGCCGTGTCTGGTCTGGCATGTGCTGCCCATTTTCAGACTGAAATGCTTTCCCAGCGCAGCCTCTGTGCATGGACGCTGTCTTTCCATTGTTTCTCTAGGGACTTTACTCACACCCTGTGGCCGCTTCTGTCTCAAGTACGCTTGGGTTTCTTCGAGCGTGTTCCATAATGTTTCACTCTCCACAGTGCATGCTGGGTTCCCTCGCCTTCCCTAGACCCTTAGAACTCACAAACCTTGATGCACATTGGGATAGCCAAAAGCCACAGGGCAGTGCAGGCACATTCAGAAAGCTCCTGGGGAGACTGGGGTGAGCCCGGAGAGATTCAGGGGACAGAGCTGTAGGGGCCCGCGGTGTAAGTACGGCCCTGGAGTTGTCACCGAGCTGGTGTAGAGCAGTGACGGGCTGCAAGACAGAGTCGTGGCGGTCGCGCTTGATGAATGGGGCAGCTGGTACTTGGATGTGGGTGATTGTCACTGGTTTGTCAACTCCACACTTGAAATCTTGGCCATGGAAGTGTTCAGAAGAGCACCCCAGAGTGGGCCAGCGTGGGGCTCTGGCTGTCCCGAGACCCGAGTCATGGAGCACACAGCAGGCGCCCGGGAAGGGCCGAGTGGAGCGTGGGGTGTCGTCACTGGGCTGCTGCCAGTGGTCAGCCACCTTTCTAAAGCGCCAGTGATGAAGGGAAAGTCTTTGGTATTTACCTTGTCCCTCCGTCTGCAGCACCCTGTGTCGTGACTCCGCATGACGTGCGCCGAGCTTTCACCTGGTGCGCGGCTCCTTGGGCGCCCGGCCGCCTCTGCCCTGTTGCGGAGCCTGTGGGTGACACACTCTCCCCACTGCGCCTTCAAGGGGCGGCCCTCAGCTCCCTGGCGTGTCCCTGCAGCCCTTCCGCGGTACGTCCCCGCGCGCCCTGTTCCGAGCAAGCGGTGTGGCAAGTCCGCCTGTGGGTGCCGAGTCCCCGTGTCCCGGACTGTTGGTGCTGCACGTCCTAGTGGGTCTGTCTCCTGGGCTTGCTGATCTGGAGATGCCTTCATTTCCTCGAGTTGGCAGATACTTTTTGTTCACTTGCGCTCGTTTCTGAGTCTTCAGTTACGCGTGGTTCAGGCCGCCTGGTGCAGCTGTATGTACCCCAGGTCTGGTCCGTCCTTGCATCCGTGCTTTGATTTGAATCGTTGCTCTGCCATCGAGTCTGTCGATACTTTTCTTCTGCGGGCCTAATAGCTGCTTAGCACCTCACCCAGCGTATTTTTCATCTCAGATTTATCTTAACTCTGTAAGTTAGAGTCGGTGCTTTTCAGTGTTTTCTGCTTTGTCCCCTAATTTTATGTTCCTTAAAATTCTTGACAAAAGTTGACAGCACTGGTTTCGTGGACGGCTGATTTTATCAGCTCTGTTAGTTCTGGGCCTGTTTGTAGTTGTGTCACTCCAGTATTTCTGTGTCTAAGATCAAGTTTTTCCCCTTTTATTTCTATACTCCATGCGTTAGAAGATTTGCAAGAAGATTTGTAAGTCGAGGCCCATGACCATAACTGGGTGTTGACCCAGTGAGCAAAATCACATTCAAGGCATCCATTTCATTAAAGATTGTTGTTTATCGTTTCCTCTTTTTTCTGCTTCTATTCTTTGGTCTGTATTTTCTTTTGAATCACAGGACATACCCTTGGTTACGTGATCATGACACTGACTGGTTATTTTCTTTTCCCGCAGGGGCCTGAATTAATGAGCAAATACGTCGGAGAGTCGGAGAGAGCGGTCAGAGAGGTAGGCCGTGCGCACGGGGCCCAGGCGCGCCTCCCGGGCCTCGTCTGCGTCTCCGTCCTGTCGGGTCGCGGGTGTTACATCTGCTTCCAAGTCCAAATGCTGGTGATTTACTTTTCTCTTTAGGAAAATACTATCTTATTTAAGAAGGGTGTGTTGATCATTTGTGATCCTTTTTTGAAACTTAATGCCACCAGCCTTGAGTTTTACCAAGTAAACTTTTTGGTTCCCAGCATGACGAGAGAAGGGGAGTGTGTGCTGCTCATTAGGTTCACCCTCGGGGGCGGCTGCAGCGCCCTTCAAGCTCAGGGGCCTTGTGGCTGAAGAAGCTTTGGTGACTGAACTTGCCGCGTGCCCCTCCCCCCCATACTTCGCATCTTTAATGGCTGGTGGCTCTTCCCCCTTGATGCTGCTGACCGCTTGGGCAGGAGCCTCCCACAGCCCAGGCCCCACGTCTGCTTTCGGGGCCTGCGTCCTTGGGGCAGCTCGGGGAGAGAGGGGATGCAGGCGGCCGAGGCCAGGGCGGTTCCCATCCCCACCTCCTGGGCACCCAGGAGAGATGGGTGAGAGATGGGAATGCTTGTTTATCCTCTTAGACAAAAATTAAAACTGCTTTTTGCCCTTTTTTCCTTCTGTAAATGTGGGTAACTGACCCTATAAAACGCTAGCCGACGGTGCCACCCCTGTGATTAGAAGAGGGCGGAGGCAATGCTCGTCACATTACTGTCCTGTGCTGCTGTGCCAGGTGTGTGAGAGCAGGACCCGCGCGCCGGGCTGTCTCTGCTCGTGCTGACTCTGGCCCGGGGACACAAGCCCTCGCCGGTGACCTGGCCGGGCCAGCGGGGCAGTCTGGTGACTGCGGGTCCAGCCTACGGGCCTCTCCCACACACTGGGCATTTTTCTCATCCTGGCTTTACTTTGACCATTACTTCCCTAACCAGTCTTTGGAGAAATGACCAAGGCGTGGGGTTAGGGTAGCTTATGTGCTGATCTGTGGGGACAGCTTGGACTTGGTGGTTCATAACAGCCATCATATTCTGCACCCTGCGCTCTTCCAGGCATTGTGCTAATACAGCCTCTACTTTTTTTTTTCCCATTCACTTCTTAGAGTTATCTGAGGCAGGCATTTGTTGTCAGCCACATTTTATAGATGAGGAAACTGAAGTTGGAGAATTGCAGTTACCTGTTGAAGGTCACAAGCTTCCAGTGGTGGGGCTGGGCTTTCGCCGAGCGACACCCGCCCGCTTGTCTGCTCGCCACTGTGGCCTCCCGCTGCGGTCTCTCCTGCGCAGCCGGCCTCCTCTCACTGCCTGGGGCGTGCAGAGTCCGTGCCAGGGTGCATGCGGAGTTGGCCTGGGTGGCGTGGAGATAATAGATCTAAAACCAACTGCAGAGTTTCCTGGAGCTTGCTTGGTCTTTAGCTGATGTGGTGTTCTTTCCTCCAGATCTTCCGAAAAGCAAGAGCAGTGGCTCCTTCCATTATTTTCTTTGACGAACTTGATGCTTTAGCAGTTGAAAGGGGCAGGTAAGAAGTATTTAACAGGACTGCTTTTACATCTTAGAGATAATCATGGGGAGTAAATAGCGTTTCTTACACAAACTTTATTTATGAATACCTCTCGCCTAAATGAAAACATCTTCAAGTCAGTTTTTTTCTTTTCACTATTATTTATGTAATCACTTGATGGTAATACTTCATATGCAGTTTTGTTTGGGAAAACACCGATACTCATTTCACTTGTTATATTTGCGGAAACCCCAAACACGGCCTATCATAATTAGTGGCGTTCGCGCAATCAAACTGTAAACAAAGCGCAATTAAATGCTGATAGGATATAGTAGACTCCAGTTATAACAGTAGTTCTAGTATCAGGTTCTGCCTGGATTAAATCATGTTTTTAAAAATGCAGCTGAGGGGCCTCCCCGGTGGCACAGTGGTTGAGCGCTGGGTTGCGAAGCTGCCCGCGGCCTCTGCGGTGCCGGTTCGATCCCGAGCTGCTCCCCGGCCACCGAAGGAGGGTCCCGCATGGCGCGCAGACCTCTCCTGCCGCCCGCTGCTCCCCTCAGCAGTGTCCTTCGGTCCTTCTGCCTGCTCTGCTCCCCGCTCTGGCTCTGGTGAATTCTCTCACCCTCCCGTGCTTCTGACTGTACCCAGTGCATGTATAAACAAAAACAAACAAACAAACAAACAAATAAATAAAACATGCCTCTATAAAAAAAAAAAACTATTAAAAAAAACCTATTAAAAATGCAGCTGAAATAAATCTATTGTTGTTTAACATTTAAAAATAATTGAAAAGCGGGTATTGTTTCTTTCCTGAATATCAGGTAATGAGGGTGAGCGTCGTCTAATCCCAAATAGGCTACGTGTGTGTCTCGCGCTGTGCACATGTGTGGGTTCTGTTCTGATGTTTGGAGTCCCTTTAAAGCCTTTGTGCTGCAGGCACTTCTGTTGGGGGATGCTGGTCTCTGAGCAAGCCTCCTGATGTGTGGCTGGGGTGCACAGCGCTGCTGATGAGACTCCTTGCCAGCAGAAGGCGCCTGGGCCCTCCTGGGGAGCTGCTGCACCCGCAGAAGTGGCTGTCCTTAGGAAGCTGCTGTTAGGGTGGCGGCCCTGCTCCCCGCCCTGCTCGAGCCATGTCCCAGAGATGCCCATCAGCTTGTTGGCCTGTGGGCTGGATGTCTTGGGTCCTTTTGTTACTTCTGAGGGCCGATGGCCTGAGGGTCGCAAAAGCTGGTTTCCCGTCACTGCACAGGGGAAGAGTAGCTGAGGGGGTGCTGCGCATACCCTGACACCAAACGTCTGCTTGCAGCTGAGCAGGAGCAGGCTGGGGTGCGCTGCTGCGCAGGCGCCGGGGGAGGCCGACTGCAGAGCCGTGGCGGCCTCCGCAGTGGGATACGCGCTGTCAGGCAGGGAGGCTCTTGGTAGAAACGTCCCATTCAGCGGCCGTGGCGCTGTGGGAATTTGCAGATGTAACCGGGACGCTGAGGGTTGTCAGCTCACCCTGCGTGTTAACACGCCTTGAATTCCCTTGCGTCCGCGGCATCACGGGACTTAGGAGTACAGTAACCTGCCTGAGGGGGCTGGCCGCTTGCTGAAGGGAATAGAAAACGTTGCCGCAAAGTCTGGCTTCAGTCCTCTCCGCAGCTGCACGGTCCTGTGGGGTGTGCCTTGCCCTGGCCCAGCCCTCGCCAGTGATGTTCATAAAGTCAATTTATCAAGTTAGTGATGACACATTTGTTTTAAAACTTTTTCATGGAGTTAGTTTTGCTTTTCCTAGGATGTCCGCTTTATAGCTTTTGCTTCCTACTGAAGCTTTGGAAGTTCTTCAGCCAAGAATACTTCTCAGCCATGAAACGTCTGCACTGTGGTGGTCCCCAGCCCGCGCTCTGTGACCCGCGGGAGGAACGGGCAGGGATGGGCCGGAGCAGGGGGGGGGGGGGGTCCCGAGAGTCCTCCGACGGCAAGTGGCAAATTGGACAAGTTTGGGTTTCACGTCTTTTTATGAAAAATAATGAATGATAGATCACTTTGGTGGGCGATGTTGGGCCAGCACAGAATAACCAACTTTGCAAACCGGAAGGATCTGTTTCTGTGTTATCTGATGTCCAACCTGCAGTCCCTAGGAAGCGTCTGCTGAGCCGCTGGGCTCGTGTTTAAGCAGAGCTTGGGCAGAACTGAAAGGATGTCAGGCCGGGCGGTAGATAAGAATACTTGAAACACAAGGTGATGTGGTATGACCACGGGGCCCTCTAGAAACCAGAATTTAGATGGGGCAGATCATACTGGATGTGCCCCTTGTCCAGGGCCGGGACAGGTGCGGGGCGTGTCCGCCACACGGTGCTGTCTGTCCAGACGCTTGTCCCGCCCGTCTCAGCTCCAAATGCCTGTGGCTCAGCAGGTGCCGTGAGGACTGAGGCGGGCCAACATCGTGGCTTTGCTCGTTAGTAAGACCTGTGGATGCCACTTTGACTTTTGGGGGATCAGAGACAGTTAAATCCAGTGCAGTCCCCACTCTAATGGGCGGTCATCAACCTGGTTCATGGGCAGAAGCAGACTCCCTGCCTGCTGCATGTTCTGACGTGCACGTCAGAAATCGCCACCTCTCAAGCGTGTGGAGAGTCCTGACTCACACAGGCCCCAGCGCCTTGCCCGGGTGTGGCTGCGGCTTATTCCATGCTTTCCCCATTCCTGTCAGTGGAGTTCAGCAAGGGGGGAGGTCTGGGCATGCATTAGGCTTTTAGGCAGATGAGATTTTTCTCGTCATAAAATAGACAGCATTTTTGAAGTAATCAAGTGCTCGCGGACAGGCAGACAGATTTCTAAGCTATTTTTAAAAATCAGTTCTTCAGGTGCTGGGAACGTAGCTGACCGGGTCTTGGCTCAGCTCTTGACGGAGATGGACGGCATTGAGCAGTTGAAGGATGTGACCGTTTTGGCTGCTACTAACCGCCCAGACAGGGTTGACAAGGTGAGAAAGGAGGCGGGTCCTGATGCCCAGACCTGGGCCCACGGTTTGCCGAGGGCGGGATTATGCAAATAACCTCCTAGGCCCTGTTCCAGCCGGGCCTGCGGCCTCCTGCTTCAGAACTGAGACGACTCTGGTAGGTTTTTCTGCTTATGGCTTGGTGGCCCCGGAACGGTTCTGTTACCTTTGGGCTTCCCCTACCCCATTATGCATCAAGTGTTCGGACTGTTTTCTTAGATAAGTGATGTTCTGAGATTCTTTTATTGGATCATCTGATTTTTTTTTTTTTTTTAAGAAATTTTAAATATAGTCATAGTGAGGAACGTTTCTGGCTGTTTAGCGCTGGTTAAACCTCACTCACCACCAGCAACTTCTTAACACCTGTTTTTGTGCATCCCATGATCTCAGAATGGTTGTTACATATTTAAATGACTGAAAAAAAATCAAAAGAAGAATATTTTGTGACATGTGAATTATGTGAAATTCAACTGTACACAGTGACGAGGAAGCCGTGTGTGAACAGGCACGAGGTCTTCGCAGAGGATGCCGGGCGCGCCAAGGCCGTGTGTGCTGGAGCGTGTGCCGGGGCCCTTCTTACCGTCAGGCGAGGGTGTGCAACCTGCTCGCAGGTGACCAGACACAAAACCACAGGACACAGAGCAAAGATAAGGCAGACAGTGAAAGGTTGACTGAATTGGAGGAGAGTTTCTGTGAGGGCTTATCGTACTGTTCTTGCGCGCACCTCTGGCCTGTGAACGTGAAATGGTCTAAGTATTGAGGCAAAAATTTGTCTTGGAACAAAGGAAACATGAAGAGTCGTAACTGAGCCTTTTTGGTGAGTCATGCTGTGAGCGAGTCTGTGTCTTCAACGCCCACTGAGGAGGCTGAGGGGGACCTGTGAGTCCACCTAACTTCTCAGGGAAATTCTAGAAAATAACAGTAGTCACCAGGGCTGATGATATCCTTTTAGCCGTTACTGTTTGCCACTGAAACCGCCGATAGCGTCGGCGAACCACCTTTCCCACATATTTGTGAAAGAAAACATTTTCCTTGCCATGGGCGCTGCCCTCGCCCGAGCGTCAGTCAGGAGGGCCTAGGGTGGGGGTGGGGGCTGTCACCAAGGCCTGTGGGGGCGCCTTGATTTGGACCCCTATTCTCAATACAAGAGTGACTTCCACAGACTACTCTCATTTCCTCAGTGAATGTGAAAAAAGTGAATTTTTATTAGAGACTAGCGGGACATGTACCTGAACAGCAGGTCAACCAGTTCTTGGACTCTTGCTTGCTGAGCCTTCGTGGTGGCTGTGGACAGGCCCACGACCTGTGTCTGCAGTTTGGCCCCTTCCGGGAGGGCGGCCTCCTGCTGGCTGTTCTCGATGGGCAGGGCCAATCTATTCGGATGGTGTCGCTGCCCTTCCCCCTGCGTCCAGGGGGGGACCCACTCGCTTTCCTGCGGCTCCAGCAGAGTGACTCTGGGAAGCCCTCCAGGTCTCTCAGTAACTGCGTGTAGCACATGCTTTGAAGCCAACCACTTAAGATACACGTTTCATTGGCTTTGTGGAATCGCAGACGTGGAGCTGTCACCGCGTGGACCTTGTCCGTGCCTGTGCTGCGCTGTCCCAGCACCCAGGGTGGGTGGCCTGCGGCTGTGCTCTGCACCTCTCTGGGCAGGCGCTGAGTGAGAGCACACGTTGCATCGCACACCTTCCCTGGGACGCCACGTGGCGGTCCTCGCTCAGTGCCCCTGTGGCCTCTGCAGGCCGTGGTGGAGGAGCGCGAGCCGCCCCAGGGACTCTCCATCTGCTGACATGCCCTGGAGGCCGCTGGGATGTGGGGAGCAGGTTCCGGGGCCTCGCGTGCTGGCTCTGTCGGCTGCAGGCTCTGGGCTGGTCACTCACCCACATTGCATCCTCGTTTCTGCAGGCTTTGCTGAGGCCTGGCCGGATCGACAGGATCATCTATGTGCCTTTGCCAGACGCAGTGACCAGGCGGGAGATACTGAACCTGCAGCTGCGCTCCATGCCCGTCAGCAGCGAGGTGGACCTGGACGAGCTGGTCCCCCTGACAGACACGTACTCGGGAGCAGAGGTGAGGCTCTCCCTTGTGCTTCGGGGGCACCGGGCCGGACCCAGCCAGAAACCATGCATGCCTCTGGTCTCCTCAGCCAGACCCCGCGGGAAGCCAGCTACTTCGCTTGCTGTGCCCCAAAATTTAAGCCAGGAAGGCCTGCGGGGCAGCCCTTCACCAAGCCAGAGGCACGTCGTCGCTGCCTCTAGCCCCTCTCGCTGCCTGTCCCCCCTTCTGTTCTGCCCTCGTGCTCCAGGCCCGCGGCTTGGGTGCCTTGTGGGCTCGGCGTGCTGTGACGGCTCCTGTTGGGTCTCCGGGAGCTGTGCGCGCTTCATTTCCCCCTCCGGTGCTCTTAGTCCACTGGGGGAGCAGGTGGAAAGGCGCAGGAGAAGCCCTGGGCCTTTCCATCCCGTGGGCGATGGATCTGTGTCTCTGCCTAGACGGGTCGCTGCTGGTGCCGCCCCAGGGGTTCTGGAGCGCCGCTGTGAGGTGAGACCTGGCCGGCTTTGCGTGTTAGGTATCGGTGGGCGATGCGTCCTCACGCTGCTCTGGAGGCGGGGCAGAAAGCTCCGCAGAGCCCATGGGCCGTGCCGGACCAGAGACCACGCACGCCATGTTGCAGCGGGGGTCCCGTCGTCAGGGACTTGAGAGCGGCACGGCTGGGCTCCGGGCTCCCGGCAGGTCCCCCGAGGGCAGGTCGGGAAGAGTCTCGGGAAATCCCGCCCCCGCGAGGGACGCAAGCAGCACGTGGGCGGAACAAGGGCCTGGTGCGCCCCAAGGCTGGCATTTGTTCTTGGGGTTTGGCCTGTTGAAGCACTTCACGGTCCCCTGAGCTTTCCGAGTGTTCACTGTTTTAGTCTCAAAATTAGTGAGAAATTCAACGCAGACTAAATGTTGCTTCTCCTCTTCCCGTCCGAACAAAAATGGTGCAAATTCAGCTCTGGTTACCTTTCCGCGGCGCCCGCTCTTGGCAGCCGTCGTCCCCGCGGCGGGAGGGAGCCCCTGCCCGGGCACGGCCCGCCCCTCAGAGCCAGGGCCCGGGTTCCCGCAGTCGTCCAGGACAGAGCTCGCCCGGTATTTGCGACGGGGAGGCGCCGGCCCCTCTGCAGGGCGCGGTCGGGGGTGAGCAGGGCGACCCTGCCAGGCACTGTCTTCACAGGGGCTCGCGTGCTCAGGCTGCTCTGAGTCAGTGTTACGTCAACACGTCAGCTATTGCAGCCTTTGTATGCCAGGGGCGTGCGCAGCCCGCACTTCCCCTGTGAGGACCACAGCAGGGAGGGCATGTGCTGCATGGGCAGCCTGTGGGTGTCCACCACCCGGCCTGCCACAGGTCTGGGGGCTGGGAGAGGCCTGGCCGCCCGGGGTTGCTCTCCCGAGCCCTAAGGAGCCCACCAGACGAGGGGTTGGGGCGCGCGGTCTCTGCCGATATGTCCTCTGGGCGGATACGGGGTGGGCAGGGGTAAGGTGAGGAGATGAGACCGCCTGCACTGTCCCAGAGGAAGTGCTAGAAGCTTCCTCTTCCTGCCCGGCCGCTCCCTCCTGAGCACGCCTGCTCCTCCGCCCTCTGAGCTGCGTGGCGGCTGGCGTTGGACTTGGGGGTCACGGGGAAGGCCGCCTCCCAGGACCGATGCGTACTTGTGCCTGCAGGTCGTGGCTGTGTGCCGGGAGGCGGCCCTGCTGGCCCTGGAGGAGGACGTCCACGCCGACAGCATCCGGCGGAGACACTTCACGCGCGCCCTGAGCGCCGTCAGGCCCCGCATCCCCGAGGCGCTGAGGCGGTTCTACGAGGACTACCAGGAGCAGAGCGGCCTGCACGCGCTCTGAGGGGCGCCGCGGCGGCCTGCCCGGGGAGCTCGGCTCTGTGACATTCAGTCCGAAGCGTCAGAGGATCCTCAGCATGCGCGTGGGAAAGGCCGAGTGGAGCGTCTTCCTTCCTCACACTTTACACATCGCGCGGTCCGGAGGCTGACGAGATGGGCCTGTCTGAGGCGCTCGGGCCGGCCCACCGCGCTTTCGTTTTCGACCTGCTTCCCTCGGCCGCCTCTGCCCCCTGCGGGCCCGTGTCCGCGCCTTCCTCCCCAGCCGCGGGCGCCGACGCGCAGGGGCAGCCCAGGCCTTGCTCCCGGCAGCCCCGCGCCCGCCCCGTCCACCGGCGCTGCTGCTCCCCGCGGGCAGGGCCGAGGCCTTGTGTGTCGCTGTGGTGCCCTTTGGAATGTGAGTCTCGCGGGGCCCGCGGCGGTTTTTTCCCGAAAGCAGCGTCCGCGTCCAGCCTGTTCGTGCACTTCTCGGGCGCCAATAAAACGCCTGTTACGGATGAGCCGCGTCGCGCCGTGGTCGGTCGTCTCGTCTCACGTTGGGTTCTGAGCATTGCCTCCTGCGCCCCACCTGTCCCGGGGCCTCCTGAGACTCGTGCCCCGTAAATATCCTTGCGAGGGACCCTGCCTCGGGGTCACACGCCGCTCCTGACAGGACGTGGGGCTCCCAGCAGACCAGCCGGGGCGCCGGGCCTCGCCAGCAGCAGCGGCAGGTCCCGGCCGTCCATCCCCACGCTCGCCCTCCGGGCCGCGGCTGTACCCACGCCGGGCGGTGGGGATGCCCCCCGGGGCGGGGCCGACCCTTCAGACACGCTGGCTGCCAGCAGGCGGCTCCCCGGTGCCTGCCAGGCCCCAGCAGCTGCGTCCCGAGAGTCCTCAGCCTAGAACGGGGGCCGGGCTCGTCTGGGGGGTCAGCGCCTGGCACGTCGGGCTCGCAGGCCGGGTCCCCGGCAGCTCTGCGGCGGCTTGGGGCGGGCTGGGGAGGGATGCCGCCAGCGGCGCCTCGGACACGGGCCCGGGCCTGGTTTTCTCCCGGCCCACGGCCTCCAGGCTGAGTCAGCGCCATCCGGTGTGCGGGCGGGCGGGGCGGGGCCGGCGGCAGCAGGCCCAGGGCTGGCCGGGGCGCGGCCTCGCGGGGTCCCCGGGCGGCGGCAGGAGTGTGTGCTCAGCGCCGCCGCCCCCCAGGGTTCCCGCCTGTCCCGCACCCGGGGCCGGCTCGGACCTCAAGCTCCTCCGCGGACAGAAGGCGCTTCTCTGGCCCTTCCCGCCCCCCGGCGCCGCCCCTGCGCAGCCCTGTGCTCCCTCCCGGGACAGACGGGGGCGACGCCCCCGCTCGCTGCTCCGCCGGGACTCCGCTGAGCCGCGCGGCCGGGACGGGACGGCACAGCCCGTCTCCGCAGGGCGAGGCTGGCAGGCCCCGGGGCGGCGGGAAGGACACGCTGCGCGCCCGGCGGGCAGACGGGCAGACTGGAGCCGGCGCCGCCTCTGCCCTCGGGCAGCTGTTCTGAGCCCCGGCCCCGCGGGAGCCGGCGAGTCTCGGGAAGTCCAGGACGGGAGCCTCAGGGTGCGCGGAACCGGGCGCCTGTGGCCACGGCGGGCGGGCTGGCGGGCAGGGGGAGAGTCAGTTTTGAATCAGCCTCTACCGAAACTGCTTTCGCACCCCCGGCGGCGCCCCCTACCCCCACGGCGGGGTGCGCCCCTGGCCGCCGCCTGCACCCTCTGGGGGTGCGCCCGGCTCAGGGCCACCGAGGACCCCAGGCCTCGGCCTTGGGAGGGGCAGGGATTCACGGCTGGGGTGGCGGCGGCGCTTCCCCCGCCCGGGGGCTGCCTCGGCCCCGGGAGCAGCACTGGCCGTTCCCCGACTCGCGGGGCGCAGTACGGGGTCCCCTTCGGGGGCTCCTGCCGGCCTGTGCTGGCGTCTTGGTCTCTTCCGCGGCCCGGGAGGCGCTTCCTTCTGCTCATCTCCGCGAACGGCGCGGCCCAGCCGGGCGGCTCCAAACGGCAGGAGGTGGGGCTGGGGGAGCTGCCGAGACCCCCGCTCCGGGGCAGCAGGTCCAGGCCCACCTGCCCCAGGCAGACCCCCCCGCCGTGACCCGGACACTTGGGTCCGGCCTCGACGGGGTGTTGACCCTGCCTCGGTGACGCCGGTGTCCGGGCTCCTCTGCCCTCGCTCAGCTCCTGAACGTCCCTCCCCGGGCCCCGGAGCCGCCCCACGGGGCCTGCCGACGGCTGGGGTGCGGCCGGAGCCCCTCCCTGCTCTTCGGTCGTGCGTTTTGCTAAGTGGGAAAAGCCACAAATGGCGCGCGGGGCTCCGGCAGGCCCGGTGGCGGGGCCAGCGCTCTGCGGCCCGGGGGCTCCCGGGCCAGGGAGGAGGCCGCGGGCGGGCAGGCCTGCTCCCCGCTCCGTGCTCGCCGCCTGCCGCCTGCCGCGGGCTCTGGCGCTGTCGGGGCTCCCGACCCCAGCGGAGGTCCTGTCACTCCTTCAGGGGGTCCTGGAGCAGGCGTGGGCCTGGGCCCGGCCTCCAGCCAGCTCCGGGGCTCCTCGGAGGGGGCGCCTCGAGCGGGACCAGGAGCTCCGCCCCGTGCCGTGCCGAGGGGCTGCCCGTTCCGGGGGCGAGGGGATGGCCTGGCCGGCGGGGGCTGGGGCGGGCAGGTGAGGGGCGGGAGGGCGTCGGGAAGAGCGGGGTGTGGAGACGAATCCCCGTCGGGCCCGCTGGAGCCAACGCGGCGTGGGAGGCGCCTGCGGCAGCTTCTGCCTTGGTTTCCATTTTGCTCTTTTCCTGCAGACGCGAGCGGCTGTTTGCGCCCCTTTCCCGGGGTCCCCGCCGAGCTGCTCTGGCGGCGGCTCTCGGGCCCTGCTCGGCCGGAGAAACGCCGGGCGCGGGTTTGCCGACTTCCTTCTTCCCCTTTCCCGGGTCGCGCGCCGTTGCCGTGACGTTGCCTTCCGTGAACGGCCCGTGGGTTCTGGCGTGGCGGGCGGGCGGCAGAAGCTGTTTAGAGCGGGCCGTTTGGGGGTTCTGGGTGCCCTCGCCCTGCCTGTAACGATGTCCGTGTGTGAACCGCTTTGCAGTGTTGCGGGGAGGGTGGCGCGGGGTCTCCCAGGGCAGCCCCGGGCAGGGCAGCCGGCGCAGGGCCCGGGAGGAAGCGCGGCCGGCCGGGCTGCGGCGGAGGGAGTGGCGGCTCCTCTGCGCCCTGCGGGTCCCGTGAACACGCGCCTTTGTGGGCACCGGGCTGCTGCCGGGCGCCTCCGCCGCGCTCTCCTGTCCTTGGCGGCCCAGACGCCGCGGGCGCTCCGGGCGCCCCAGGGCCCAGCGCGGGCGGCCTGGCGGGCCACCTTAAAGGGGGGGGAGGGCGGTGGTGGGGTGACGGGGGAGGACGCAGGCCACGACCCTGGGCCCTGGAGCCGCGTCCGGCGAGGGCGACCGAGCCCTCGGGGGCTTCACGGGCGGCTGCCCGCGGGAGGCGACCCCCGTGAGTGTTCCCGGGCTGAGAGGGCGGGCGTCCCGTTCCAACCGCCCGGAGTTGACGGGCCCTGCGGCCGCCGCTCTGCCTCCGCCAGCAGCGGCTCGGCCGCCCTGGGGCCTGTGGCCGCCTGGACTCGGCCCCGGGTCGCCGACAGGACGGGAACCTCTGTCCGCTGCCCTGTGCCTCTCGCTCACGACGCCATCCACCCCGCCGCCCCTCCGTGCAGCCTCCACGGCCCTGACTCAGCCTGGGGAGCTGGGGCCCTCCCTTCTTGGGGTGCAGGCAGCAGGGAACCCCCTTCCCTCCCGGCTCCTGGCTCCCGCAGCCGGACTCGCCTTCCCCCACCTGGGTGGGTGTCTGCGGGCCCCGGGCGCGGGCGGTGCGAGGCCTTGCGGGCCGGCCCCTGGGCACACCGATGCCCACCGGCAGGGGGCGCCCGCCGCCTTGGGGCCCGATCACGCCTTGCAGGGCGCCCCCAGGGTGACCCCAGCTGCGCCCGGGCTCCTTTCAGAACCTGCCTGCGCCACTTCTATCGATGCCTCCGTTTCCGAGTCTAACAGGAGAGCGCGTGACTGAGGCTCGCGCCTCGCGCGGGGCCGCTGGTCTCCAGGGCCAGCCTCGCCCTGGTTTGCGCTCAGGAAAGGCCGGCGTTTCTTCCAGGCTTGGCCTGCGCTGCTCTCAGGGTCACTGCGCACGTGCTTAGACGACCACGCCTGTCCGCGCCTCCTAACTATGAATTTGCTCGAGTCGATCTGTTTCTGAAGCCGAGGCGGCGGCGCGGAGAACCCGGGCCGCCCCCGCCCGTGCAGATCTGGGCGGCCTGAGCCTGCGGGCGTCAGCACCGGCCGCGACGAACGGCTCATCGCCCCGAGCTTCCGGGCTCTCCGTCCCCCGGAAGGATGTCCGCGGCGGGCGTTTCACATCGAGACCAAATCGGTCTCCTCAACTTGCGTCGTCAAACAACAGCGACGATGTAAAAGTCAGTGACTCCCGGCGACAAACCATGCCCCGAGAAAGCAAACACGCGAGCAAACCAACCCTCGCTTTCCCGAGGAAGAGGCTGGCGCCGGCTCCCGTGCGCCGTCCGGCTTCCACGCAGCCGCTCAGCGGCCTGGTCCTCGGGCCTCACCGCGCCGGTGGGAGCGCCGGCCTGCGCGTGTCCGCGGCGTGGCCCCGGCTGCGAGTCCACAGCCGTGTGTCCGTGGCCGCGTGCTCCGTGTCGCCCCTGCTTTCCTCATGCCCGGCCCGCCCCACGCTGAAGCGTTCCCGAGGAAACTGTCCGCCTGCCGAGCCTTGGATCGGGCGCCAGGACCCCAGGGCGTCGGGCACGGAGGGGGCTGCCGAGCCTCCTCTCCCTTTAATGGAAAATGAAAACGGCAAATGACTGACTGAAGAAATATTCCAGCGTGGAGGCCGGGGGACAGTCGGTGCCCACGCCCAAGAGCGACCCCGAGTCCCCGAGATCCAGCCCTGACCTCGGGTGGACCAGGGCAGTGCGGCCCCGGCTCCGGCTGCTGGACCTGTGACCTGGGGCTGCGGCACACGTTGGAGACAGTGCGCCTGGGGGCATTTGCTTCTGCTGCTCTGGCCTAAAAGGCCCACTGTGGCCGGCTGTGAGCCAGCTGGCCTCTCTCCCGAGCGTCCATCCCAGCGTCAGCCTGTGCGCGCCTGTGCCGTGGCTGTGTCGTGGCGCCCCAGGAGCGTGAGGGGCTGTGTCGGGAAGGGGCTCCTGTGGAAGCACCTGGAGGCCATCAGAGGCCAAGGCTCCCAAACTGCTGTCCCAGAACCGAAATCCCAGCTGCGAAGCCACCTCCTGGAAGCCCTCCTGGCCTGTGCCATGGCCAGGGCTGGTCACCAGCCCCTCAGCTGGATGTCGCCGTGAGTCACGTCCCTCGGGTCGTCCTGGCTCCCAGCCGTGGCCGCCCGCCTGCTGCCCCTCACGCCGGATGCGGAGCCGTGTGTCCAGAGCCCTGGTCCGCGGCGTGGGGAGCGGGTGCCTCGCCGTGAGAGAGGCAGGCACAAGCCAAAGGGCATTTTTAAGAGCCCAGGCAGATAATCGTCTTTCTCACGTGAAGTATTTTTGATATCTCCGTAGCTCTCTCCCTGGCCTTGCCCGCGCCCAAGTGCTGTCACCCGGAGTTGCCTCGTGGCAGACGAACGCGGGGCTGCCGCCCAGCGCGGGCCGCGGAGCGAGCCCCAGGGGACACTGAAAATGCATTTGTAACATAACTGCTCTCGGTGCTGCCTCCGGAGACATGGCTAATTAGGCCGTATTTAAACACGGTTCAAATGCACCCGTGTTCGTTTTCTAAAAGCTGGGACAGAGAAGGAGAATTCGGTTTTGAAATCGGACTTAGAATTCTTTAAGTTGACGCTGCGTCTGCAAATCTGTAGCCGCCCAAGTGCAGTTTTTACAAGAAAGCACACAGCCAAGGGGAGTGAGAGTCACAGGAGAGAGAGAAGGGCCTCCCCGGGGGCGCAGCGGTTGACCCGCAGCCTCTGCAGCGCCGGTTCGATCCCCGGCTGCTCCCCGGCCACCAGAGGAGGGTCCCACATGGCGCGCAGACCTCTCCTGCCGCCCGCTGCTCCCCTCAGCAGTGTACTTCGGTCCTTCTGCCTGCTCTGCTCCCGCTCTGCTCTGGTGAATCCTCTCACCCTCCCGCGCTTCTGACTGTCCCCAGTGCTTGTTTAAATAAATAAATAAATCTTTAAAAAAAAAAAAACAAGAAATAAAAGGCTGATTTATATGAGACCAAGTGTGCAGAACCAGCCCTATTTAGATAATTAAAACAGCACTGGACACCCCCCAGCAAGGCCCCCGCAGAGCCCCCCCCGCCCCCCCGGCGCAGCGAGTCACCCCGCGGCCACAGCTCCTGCCGTCCCTGACAATGTCTCCACAGGAGGCCTTGAAAGGTCCTTCCAGACGCTTTTCCTCCAGAGTTGCTCGGAACAACATGGGCCCCTCGTGGGCGCGACCCAGGCCCCGGCCCAGCAGGCCGCCCTCTCCGCCGGCCCTGCCCTTCCAGCCGCAGTGTCCGGCCTAGGGGCGCCCCGGGGTGAGGGCTGCGGGCATCGGCTGCGTGGACGGCACCTGGGGGTCCCTGGGAGCTGCTTCCGTCCTGCCCCCTGCTGGGGCCCGGCAGCCCCCGACGGGCTGAGGCGGGCGAGGCAGGGGCGCACCCGTGTCCGGCAGCCTGTCCGAGGGCTCTACCCAGCTGGACGCAGCTGCAGAGGTAGGAGCTCACCCCGGCCTCAGGCCGCCGGTGCCGCGCCCCATCCCAGCCCCTCCACTCAGAGCCGCGTCTGCTCGGGCCGGGCTGGGGGGCGTCGGAGAGAGGGGCGCGCGTCCCCCTGGCCCCTCAGGCCTACCCCCACCCCGAGGTCCACCCGCGGCCCGGATGCTGGTGTCCCGCCTTCACGACCGCCGTGGAGTGGGGCCTGTGGGGGGGGTACCCAGGAGGCCAAGGACAGGTGCCCTGGGGCCGGCCCCGGGTGCTGCGGCCCGCGTGCGCCCAGTGAGAGGCCCGAGTTGGAGTTTGAATGTCCCCAGGGCACGCGGCTGTCCGGGTGGAAAGAAAGTGCCCTCGAGAGCGGCCGACGCGGCCACGTCCCAGCGGCGGGAGGGACGCCCCGTCTGGGGGAGGGACAAGGCCCATGGGGCAGGCGGGGTGGGCAGAGGCCACCGGGGCCAGCGGACACGCGGGATCGGGGCAGCGGGTTCCAGCCAAGCGCCCGCAACATTCCCCGGAAAGCGCACAACTCGGGGCCGCCGGCAAGAGCCGGGTCACCAGCAGCGGCCCCGGGTGCGTGAGGCCGCAAGGCCAGCGCGGCCATCTGGGGGCATGACCGGGACTGTCCCTGAAAGGACTATCCCCACCCACCCCATGCCCCACAGACGCCCCCCACACCCCACCCCCCGCAGACACCCGCGGTGCTGGGTTCTGGGGGAGGGACGTGCAGCAGGGCCCGGGTCCGCTGACCGGCAGCGCCGGGGTCACAGCGGGGAGCGAGCAGGAGACCGGGGCTCTGCAGGGGCCGGACGCTCTGGTCACCCGCGGACGGGGCAGGGCCGCGCGTCGTGTGCTCGGGGGCGAGAGGAACACGCGACGGCCGCCGTAAAGCAAATATATTTATTGTGCGCGCGTATAGACAGGGCTCCGCTCGATACAGTACACGGAATAAAATAAACCTTTACAACGTGACCCCAATGTACATCTCAGGTTATTTACACACCCCGAATGGGGTGGGGGGGACGCCCCGTCTGCAGCCGCGTTTGCCGAGAAGCAGGAGTGGGGGACCGGGCAAAGCGGACACGCCCCAGCAGAGGGGGGGGCCCTGGCCTGTGCCTGAGGGCCTGGGTGTTTTGGGGGGGGGAGGGGAGAGGAGGGGGAGGGCTGAGGTGGGGGGCGGCGGGGGGGTGCAGAGGGCCGGGGCAGGCGCACGGGGGTTCTGGTCCGTCCCGCGCCTTGGTGCGCCCCAGGGCCGGTCCATCCGGGCACGGTCTCCCGCCCCGGTCCGCCGCAGCCCAGCCTGCCCGGCGCGCGTCGAGGGCGCGGGGGGCCAACGTCTCAGCTTCCAAGTAGCTCCTGAGGCGCCGCCCGGGGCCGCTGCCGTCACCGCGGGGGCCCCCCTGGCCACCGCGCCCGTGAGCGCCCCGCGCTGCGCGCCAGGCCGCCAGGCCCGGGGACCCTCGGAACGGCCTGGTTCCCCGCGCCGCCGGCCGCAAGTGCATTTGTAAAAAATAATAAAATTAAATAAATACAATTCACTCATTCACGGGCAACAGAAAACCCGGCAGCTTTCAGGGTTTTCTTCCTAAAGAAAAAGCCAGCCACGGAGCGCGGTCGGACCGCGCGTGTTGACGGGCCGCGCCGGCGCCCCGGGGCTGCTCTGGGCGCCCCGCTACGCGCACTTCATAAACGTCCCATGGGGACAAAGCTCGCCCCGGCCGCCGTCCAGCGCCGCGGGAGGGGCTCGGACCCGTGGCCACGCCTGGTCGGCCCGACGGGAAGATTCAAGTGAGACGCGTGTGTCCCGCGAGCCGCCCGGGCCCCGGGGCTGGGTGGCCGCGGAGGTGGGGGGTCTCCCTCTCCCCGCTCCCTCCCCACACCACCTGGAAAGCACCGGATTTCTGCATTTTGTAAGATCCTTGGGGCTGATCCACGGATCAAAACCAGCACCCTGGCCACCAAGCCACCACCCTGCGGTCCCCGGACACCCCCATCTGAGCCCGCACCCCTTGGTCGGAGGCCCACAGGGGCCCAGGGGGCCATCGGCTCTCCTGGCCACAGACCCCACCGGACACGTGGCGACACGTGCAAACCCCATCAGCGCGGCCGCCCGAGCACCAGGCCCCGCTGCGGCCCACCCGCCCCGCAAGGCCCGCCGGTCACTCCGCCGGCCGCGCCCGCTCACTGCTCCCTCGAGGTCAGGTCCTCAGCACCTCAGCTGCGCCGGCCAGGGCCTCGCTTGCCCTGGACAGAGGAGACGGGCCCGGAGCCCCTGGAGCCCTCGGGGGCCTTTCTCCACGCTGGGCCCTCAGCGCTCTGCTGGGACTGGTCAGTGCGTGACCGGCCGTCCAGGGGCGAGCACGGGTGTAGACGCCGGGCCCCCGGGCAGGCCAAGGGCCACGGGCTGAGCCGGCGCGGGCGCGTCTCTGCCACAGAAGAAAAGAATGAAGACGAGGAGCAGGCCTTGCCACGTGTATTTGATCACGGCACACGCGCGTTTTCCAACTCAACTTCAAGTACTTTACTCAGAAGACTTCCGGCTTTTATCAGAGAACGGCATTAAAAAAAGTGCTTCTTCCCCGGAGCGAAGACGCGACGACCGGCCTCGGCAGAGCAGCTGCAGTCTCGGGCCTCGGGAGCGCAGCGCGGCCCGGTCCTCTGGTCACCGCCGGTGGCCGCGCAGCCCGCGGTTAGCCTCCCCTGAAGCGCCACGAAGGTCTGCCTGGATCTTGCATTGACCGCCTAACGCGCCGTCCACTCCGCCTATAAAATGGAGAATGTGGGCAGCGGCACGAGACGCGGTCAGGCTGGACCTCCCCGGAGCACGAGAGCTGCTGCCCACTGTCCTGGACACGACCCGGGCCCACCGCGCTCCCGGGCAGGGCTGCCAGGCCTCGGCGCAGGCAGGCGCAGCTTTACCGGGACGAGGGATGGGGCAGCGCGCCCATGGGCAGCGCGGGACCCCACGTGGGCTCCGGCCCTCCCTGCACAAGAGGCGCCTCTCCCGCCGAAGGCCCTGGGCAGCGAGGCGCCCGCTGCGGTGGGAGCGTGAAGACATTTTATTCAGCGACCGGGGCGGCCCCTCGAGCTCCCCTGGACCCACGGCCCCACGTCCCCTCCCTGAGCCCACCCGGGGCTCGAGCGACACCCTGGGAGCTTGGCAGGGGTGCCACGGCACAAATGACCCCTGCCGCTGGCCCAGGGCCTCTCCCGTGAGAAGCCGGCACGCGGGAGGAGGTGGCCATGCAGGCGCGGCCCCGCTGCGCCGGGAGACGTGGACAGGGCAGGGCCGGCTGCGCGCACGGGGCCTGCGGCTCGAGTTCCAGCCCGGCTGCCCAGCGTGGCCCCGCCCCAGCAGGACCCACCCCCGCCGGGGCCCACGGCCTGAGGCGCAGAGGGACTGGGTGGGCACGAGGCCAGTCCTGGCCGGGGCGGCCCCTCTCACAGGGGTGTCTCCTTTTTATAGCTGAAGCTGGGGTCGGGGCTCTCGATCTGCAGCCGCAGGGCCTGCTTGAGGCTCAGCTCCGCCTCGGGGCAGGGGTACCCCTCCAGCGCCTCCGGGTGCCCCGGGTCCTGCACGGCCCGCGGGCCGAGACCCTCCCCAGGAACACCTGGCTGCCCTGGAGGTGGTAGTTGGGGTTCGTGACGATGCCGTTTCTCTTCTTCTGCTCTCCGCCCTGCTGGGGCCCGAGCGGCGGCGGTGGGGGGCGCCCGGCATCCTGTGCGGCGGCCGCGGGGGGCGCCTGGGCCTGCCGGTCGAGCGGCGTCATCTCGTACTCGGCCACCTTGGGCTGCGCGCGCCCTGCTCGGCCCTGCGCCCCGCCGCACCCGGCCTGCCCGGGGTCTCCGCCCGCCCTCCCGGGCTGGTTCTCGCCGGCCTGAGGCTGGGCCTGGCCGGGCCCCACTCGCACTCACTGCTGGGCGAGCGCTGGCCGGGCCGGGCGAGTGCGCGGCGGGGCGGGGACGCCACGGACTGGCGGCTGCGGCTGCGGGGCAGCGAGTGCTGCTGGATCTGCTCCGTGAAGGTCAGGCCGTGGACGCTGTCCATGGGCACCGTCTGCGCCGTGGCCGTGGACGATGTGGTCCTCAGCGAGGAGGTCTTTGAGCTCTTCAGGGAGTAGCTGGACAGCGAGCACTTCTGCCGGTCGGCTGTGGAGTCCGGGGACTCGGAGGGGGAGCTGAAGGCAGGGGCTGGCCCCCCGGGCAGGCCCCGCAGGGAGGGCTGCGCCTCGCCCCCGCCCGTGCTGCCCGAGCTGCTGGACGGCGCTGCGGCCGGTGCTGGCTTCTGCTCGGAGGCGTGGACCGGGGAAGGCGCGCAGCCGTTGAGGCCGGCCGCCCCGTGCGTCTCCAGCAGCTTGATGATCTGGGAGTGCCCGTTCTTGGCAGCCACGCGCATGGCCGTGCGCCCGAACTGGTCGGCGTGGCTGGGGTCAGCACCCCGCTCCAGCAGCACGCGCACCACATCCAGGTGGCCCTCCTGGGCGGCGATGCAGAGGGCGGTGGCGCCCTGGTTGCAGGTGTGGTCCACGCCGGCGCCCCGTTCCAGCAGCAGCTGCACCACCCGGACGTGGCCCTGCCAGGCGGCCGACTGCAGCGCCGAGCGCCGCTCCCTGTCCGCGGCGTTGACGTCGGCGTGGTGGGCCAGCAGCGCCCGCACCACCTCCAGGTGGCCCTGCCAGCAGGACACGTGCAGCGCGGTCCTGCCCTCGGCGTCGCTGGCCTCCACGTCTGCCCCGTTCTCCAGCAGGCACTCGGCCATGGCCAGCTGGTTCTCCAGGGCTAGGATGTAGAGCGTGGGACGGCCGTCGGCGTCCTTGCAGTCCACGTCGGCGCCGTGGCTGAGCAGCAGCTCCACCACGTCCCGGTGGCCCTCCAGGGCAGCCACGCGCAGAGCGTTCCTGCCGTCGTAGCCCCGGTGGTCCACGCTGCACTTGCCCTCCAGCAGCGCCTGCACGCAGTCGTAGTGGCCCTCCTGGGCGGCCAGGATGGACGGGATGCGGCCGTCATTGTCCATCTCGTTGGCCCGCGCACCCTGCTCCATCAGGGCCTCGCAGATGAGCCGGTGGCCCTCGAAGGCCGCCATGTGCAGCGGCGTCCAGCCGGCGTCGTCCCGGTGGTTCTCGTCCAGCCCACGGTCCAGCAGGGTCCGCACCACCTCCACGTTGCCCTGGGCCGAGGCGATGCTGAGCACGGTGCGGCCCTCGCCGTCAATGCTGTCCACGGCCGCGCCCCAGAACAGCAGCGTGTTCACCACGGCCGCGTGGCCCATGGAGGCGGCGGCCAGCAGGGGCGTGCGCCCGTTGTGGTCCGTGTGGTCCACGTCTGCGCCGCCCTCCAGCAGCAGCTCCACCACGTCCACGTGGCCCTCGTAGGCGGCCACCAGCAGCGGGGTCATGCCGTCCTTGTCGCAGTGGTCCACCTCCGCCCCGCGGTCGATCAGCAGGCTGACCACCGCCGCGTGGCCCTTGCTGGCCGGCACGCAGAGCGCGGCCACAGACAGCGCGGTGCGGCCGTCGGCGTCCTCGTGGTCCAGCTGCGCCCGGTGCTCCAGCAGCAGCCCCACGATCTCGCGGTGGCCCATGTAGGCGGCGGCGATGAGCGCGGTGCGGCCCTCCTTGTCCGCCTTGTTGGCCTCGGCGCCGTGCCGCAGCAGGCTCAGCACGATGTCCTCGTGGCCGCCCCAGGCCGCGGCGCGCAGCGCGGTCCGGCTGTCGGCGTCAGCGCAGTCCACCAGCACGCCTGCGCGCAGCAGCGCCGAGACCACCTCCGAATGGCCGCCCCAGGCGGCCGAGCGCAGGGCTGTCCACCCGTCCCGGTCTGTGTGGTTGACGTTGGCGCCCCGCCCGATCAGGCAGTTGACCACCTTGGTGTGGCCCTGCCGGGCGGCCAGAGTGAGAGGCGTGTGGCCGCGGGCGTCCTCGATCTCCAGGTCCGCCCCCCGGGACACCAGCAGGTTGACCACGTCCAGGTTGCCGCTGTAGGCGGCGCTGCCCAGCAGTGTCCTCCCGCTGCTGTCACGCCGGTTCACGGAGGCTCCGTTGTCCAGCAGGGTCCGGATGGAGTCCTCCCGCTCCAGGGCCTGCCGCACGATGCAGGAGGCCCGGTCGTCCTCACTGTTGACGCGGGCGCCCGCCTTCACCAGCAGCTGCAGCACCTCCTGCTCCGTGGGCACCAGCGTGCACAGCGCGTCCCGCACGGGGGCGCCGCTCCACACCATCCACAGCGCCAGCTCCGCTGCCGCCAGCTTCAGGTTGGAGCGCGTCAGGTGCAGCGCGAACTCCTGCGCCTCCAGGGCCGAGAGGCGCGGGGCGCGGCAGGTGCAGCTCATGGCCAGCATGCGGTGGCCCTCGGCCGCGTTGCACAGGTACTTCTGCGTGCAGTGCTTCACGTCCAGCAGCCACTCCGCGAAGCTGTAGTGGAACAGCGTCTTGGTGCCGCCCTGCCCGTCCACCAGCAGCTTGGCCAGGACGTCCAGCTTGCGCTGGAAGTCGTCCGCGGTCAGCGACATGCTCCTGGTCCACACGGCGTGGTACAGCTCCGTGACGGTCAGCGGGCGGCAGGCCGCGAGGATCACGTTCAGGATCGGCTGGACCTTGGCGAACTGCTTCCTGACAAAGAGCCTCTGGCACAGCCAGAGGTAGAGGCCGTTGAGGGTGCCGGGGATGTCGCGGACCTCCCGCAGCGTGATGAAGCTCTCGGCCACGCCGTCCAGCACGCGCTCCAGGTAGAGGAAGCAGCCGCTGCTCTTGATGTGCAGCTGGTTGAGCATCTCGGCCGTCTCCTTGGTGAGGTGCTGCCGCAGCGCCTCCTCGCGGTCCAGGCGGTGCAGGATGTACTGCTGCACGTCCTTCACGACGTAGGCCTTCCGGAGGTCGTCCAGGCTGATCTTGCGGAAGCCTAGGGAGAGACGGGGAGGTCACCGGCCGAGCCCAGCCCGGCGCCCGCCGCGAGGACAGGCCCGGCGGCAAGGACGCCGACGGTGGCCAAGCGGCCAGCACTGCAGACCCGGCCGCGCCGCCCGCCGGCTTCCCTCTCTGTCCCGCCACACCCCGAGGGCGGGGGCCGCTTCACGTGCCCGCACGGGGGGACGCATGACCGTCCGGGGCCCCTCACGTCAGTGTCAGGAGGCCGGCCGTGGGCAGCCCCATGCTCGGCGCCGTGCCACGCAGGCCCGGCCCCACGGCGGGGACGCCCGGGCACACGGGAGAGCTGGCGTCCTCCCGGCTGTTTCTCTGCCTGCCCACGCTCGCGAGCCGCAGCCATGAGGCGGCGACCACATCCATCCGGCCGGGCGCCGCGACGGCAGCCTGAGGTAACTGTCGGGAAGAGCTTGACTCGCAAGCCGCAACTTGGCCAAATTGTGTTAACCCGACGACAACACAATAAGCAACGCAAGGCCGATGTAAGACACGCTGGCCCCACGCTGGCCCCACGCTGGCCGAGATTCACTCCAAGGGCTTTAAAGGGAACCCGAGTCTCGCTTCCGCCGGGAGACGGCCTGGGCTCGGGCGTGAGCCTGCAGGCGTGTGCTTCACCTCCGGAAGAAACACCGCTGCGGGCAGCGAAGAGACGGGGATCTGGAAATCCGGCAAAGGCTGGAGACAGCCAGCGAGGGCCAGCGAGGGCCAGCGAGATGGCCGGTGAGGGCCAGCGGGAGGGGCCGGCTGGGGCCAGCCCCACGGGAAGGGAGCCCCGGTGTGTGCTGCCCACAACAGGCGTGGGCACCGGAAGGGCACCCGGCTCTGCAGGAAAGGGCGGGAGGAGCCCTGGCCAAGGCCGTTGGCCAGTGGAGCTGACGTGGAAAGGCCACGGACACGCCCGAGAGGGAGAACTGCAGGGTCAAGGGCAGAGGCTGGGAAAACCTAGGCGGGGCGGCCCAGGGCCTGAGTGGCCAGGGCACGGGTGACCACTCTGCCAGCAGAGCTCCACGTGGCCGCGCGGGCCAGTGGGCTGGGCCGCAGGCAGGTCTGGAGAGGGAGCCGTGAAGGCAGCTGCGGGGCGCTGAGCTCCAGGTGAAACATGCAGCTGCTGAAAAAAACAGCCGGAACGACACCTGACGAAGGCACACACCTGGACAGGTCTAGTCTACCCGAGAGCCAGAACCCGCAGCTGTGCACACGCACGCCCCGGCACGGAGCCTGCAGTGCCAGGCACACACGCAGCCCAGCACGAGTCAGTCACACGCACGTGACTGGTTCTTCACACTGGACCGAGGAGCTCAGGATGTCTGGACTATGAAGGACACTCCTGACCCAGGTGGCCCAGCCGGCCCCCGCCCCACACGCCAGCCCCTCCTGAGTGCTGGCCGCGCCCGCGTCCAGGGCCCGAGGGCCGTGGGCCGGCCCGTGGTTGTGGGGCTCTGGACAAGGCTGCCCACTGGGCAGGGGTCCACGGGAGCTCACACAGGCGACACGGACCTGCCGGCGGGGCCCACCCCGCGGCTTGGTTCAGGGCAGCTGGGCGAGCTGAGACGGGGCGGGCAGGGGTGAGGCCCGTCCGTCTGCCAATGGCGGTTCCGTCCCGGGGAGGCTGGCAGGACGGGACCACTGGTCCCGTGGGCGTGGATGCAGGGCCGTGGTGGCGCTCGGCCAAGGGGTGGTGCTGACGCCGCCCGCCCTCCGCACTGCCCCAGAGAGCGTCCAAGGGTGAGCTGCTGTCACTGGGGCCCCAGAGCTTCCCCAGCCGCGTGTCTGTCAGCAGCAGTGAGCACAGGACACAGCAGAGCTGGGGTGCCGGGAGGGGAGGCAGGGCCAGGTGGGGTAGGAGGGTGGGGAGGGCCTGGAGGGTGGGCCCGGGGGTGCTGGCCGGGGCGAGGGCGGCATCTGGGTGGCTCCCGAGGATGCTGGGTGGTGCTGGGGCTCAGTGTGGTCGCAGGACGGGGTGCTGGGGTGGTAGCAGCGCCCGCTCTGGCCAGCACGGGTGCCCTGGGGCAATGGCCTGTTGGGGGGCTCTGGCCTGGGAGGCGGGCGCGGGGTGCTTACCTGTGAACATCTTGGTGACGGCTTTGCTCTGCTTCCGCGCAGAGCATAGGAGCAAGAGCCAAGGCGGGAAGAACTCGTGGTGGCCGGCCAGCAGCTCCGCCACCGTCCCGGAGAGGCCGGCGGCCGAGTGCTCGCCCTCGGCGGCGCCGCAGCCCTCGTCCACGGAGTCCACCAGGAGGTACAGGCTCTCGGGCGGGGGCGCCATGCCCAGGAGGGGGAGCAGCACACACCTGCAAGGGCGAGGCAGTCAGAGCCCGCGGGCGGAGCAGCCCCCCACTGCCCTCGGGACGGCCCAGTGTCCACGCCGCGCGGGCTCGCGTCCACAGGGAGACACGCGGCTGCCCATGAGGGGCGGCAGGTGCCGGCGCCTTCCCCCTGGCACGAGCAGGGGGTATCCGTGGTGTGGACCTGTGGGCGCCTCCCTGACGTGGGGCCGGCAACTGCGCCCGCAAACCTCACCGAAGGGCTGGCAGAGGTGGGCACCGGCTGGCAACCCTTCGCGTTCCAGCACCGAGGGCAGCCACCGGGCGTGGCGGGAACAGCACCTCTCCCGCCCCGTCACTGGGCGGGCAGCCAGCGGGCCTTTTCCCGAGAGGAGGCCTCACGCGGCCCCACAAGCCGAGCAGGGGCCCAAGCGCAGGCGCAGGGGTGTCTGCAGGGCCAGCTGCCCGGCGGGCTCTGCGGGGCTCCTCCTGGTCACCAGCCCCACGGGGGCCGAGAGCCAGTTCCACCTCCTCCGCCGAGCCCCACCCGGCGCCCCGTGCCTGTTCCCCTGGGCCGCGATCCCCGTCCCCCTGGGCCCCCGGTGCCATGGACCGGGACGACGGGGGCTCCTGAGCGCCCCAGAGGAGGCCGTGCCGGCTGAGGCCACCCCAGAGCATCCGGGCAGTGGCGTGAGGGGTGGCTCGACCCCACCACTGGGCGCCCCGCTCCCGATTTGGGGGAGACGCGCAGATTCAGAAGGGGGCCTGGCCCTCCCCGGAGCAGGAGCTGTCCCGAGCAGGTCTGCTGGGCTCTGCCTGCGGCCCGGGGCCGGCCTGCGTCCTCCGCACCGTGCCAGGGCGTCGAGAGGACGGCCTCGGTCAGGGTCACGACGGACACCAGCCCAGGGCAGAGCCCCAAGACCCGGAGGCAGAAGGACCCTCGGTGCCCAAGTCAGAGCGAGACGCACGGGGACGGGGGACGAAGCTGAGCCTCGTCCACCAGCCGTGAGTCACCGCCAGGAAAGGCCACTGGTTTCTGGAAAGCCCAATATCGCTCTCCAAGATAACCACAAGTGAGATATAATTAGTTCCCTTAATTAATACTTATTTTTATTAAGCAATTACACGAACATTTCACATCCCGTTTCATTACCAAGGACTATATTTAGCTGCGCGCACGGCAGGAAGACGCGCGGCGCCCGGGCCGCCAGCGAGGACAGCGGTGCGGCCTGGTCAGGGGCGCTCCCGGGGGCGTGGCCGCAGGGTGAGGACAGGCGGCCAGTGCGAGGGACCCCAGAGGCACCCTGAAGCATTCACCCCAAGAAAGGAAACCACTGTCCTGTTTGGAAGTGATTCTGTGATAAAAAAGGAAAACCCGGCACCACTGCGGCGCGCAAAGCGAAGGGCCGGAACCCCACGCGCACCCCAGCGGGGCCGCGACTTCCGGCCAGCGTGGGGCCGGGCGGCCGGCAGGGCCGGTGCCAGCGGGCAGTGGCCTGGTGTGCGGCAGCCTCGCCGTGCCCAGTCACGCCACAGTGTGGCACAGAGGCCGCGTCCGAGCAGCGCGGTGCTGCGCCCGTCAGCGGGGAGGCGGCCACGCTGACCGGATCAGCGGCGCCCCCCTGGCGCGTTAGTTATCAGGACGCAGAGGCGACGGCGCTGGGCTGGGCACTGAGGGGCCCTGAGGGCCACGGCTGCACAGGTCGTGGTGGGCAGGGCTGCGTGGCCTTCCTGACAGCGTCAGGAGTGGAACCTGGAAATTATGAAGTCATGAAGAAACCGAAGAAAAGTAGTGAAAAGGGTTTCTCTCTCTGCAGTCCCCAACTTCGTGGGTCTGTGAGAAACTAACATTTTTTTTATCCGTTTTCTCTTTCTATGAAGCTGTTTGCCCACGAACACACAGAGGCCCCAGTGTTACCAGCTGCCATCTGCTAAGAACGTTACAGTTCCGTACCCAAATCGGTTTAGAATTTGGTTTTTTGGTGAGAAATGAACAAAAGGATCTCCTCTGGTTCCCTCTCGTCTCCCGCCGGGCCACGCCGGCTGCCGCCATCTCTGTCTCTTCTCCCGACCAGCCCCCCGCCCCCGCCTAAGTGCAACGCGCCCCGGAAATCCTCTGAGGGCCTCGGCCGTCACCAACAGAAGCTCTGCAAACCTGCGCTGTGTGCGTGGAAGCAGCAGCCCCAGGGCCGAAGCCGCCCCCTGACCTCCAGGCGCTCTCCAAGTGCGGGGCCACGTGCCCGCAGCAGGGGGAAGGCGCCCCTGAGGACAGCAGCCACTGCTCCGCACCGAGCCCCGGGGGGTGGTGCAAGTAGGGGCGGGCCCTGGACACACGTGGGCTGGAGCCACGCTGGCCAGCGACTGACCACGAGGAGAAGGCTTGTCACTGCGTCCGCGCCCTCGAAGGGAGCCTCTTCAAACGCCCCTGGACTTCCCATTGCTTGGGGGCACACCCAGACGTGGCAGCAGGCTCCCCCCGCCCGCAGAGGGCCAGGGCCTTCCCCAGGAGACCTTATCTCATTCGAGAGGACGTGGCTGCACACGAGGGCACCCATCACACTCCTGTCTCCGAATCCGCCCGCGGCCGCCTCCCCCAGGCGGCCCCCGGGAGGTCAGAGGCCCGGGCAGCAGCGCCTTGCCCAGTGCAGGCCACAGGAAAAGGGCAGGAAGTGCTTGTCGCTAACGGGGGGACGTCTCTGCAGGGCTCCCCGCGCTGCTGTAAACCAAGGAAATCGAGGCCTGGGCTCCAGCAAAGCCCGTGCAGCTCCAGGCTCTTCCCGGGCAGTGGCAGACCAGCTCACAGCTCCGAGGCCGCACCCCTCCTGAGGCCCCTCCCCGTTACCTTTTAAAGGCCTCTGCGGGGTTCCGCTCACACTCCCCGGGCTCCAAGAGCCTCTGCACGGCGGGGTCCCTGAGCTTGTCCTCGTAGCCTGGGAGCAGTCCGCTGCGGCTGATCTGGGCCACCAGGCCTCGCACAAAGCCTCCCGCGCACAGGGTGTCGGCGTCCTGGGCTTTGCAAAAGTGGAAGGCCAGAGCCTGGCGGTGCAGGCCCCGTTGCAGGCCGGCGGGCGAGCTGGGCCACAGAAGCTCCGTGCACAGTGCCGTCTTGCCACTGCCAGGCCCACCCACCAGCAGCACGCCCCAGGCGGCGGTCCTCCCGGGGCCCGCGCTGCCGTCAACGCTGCCACCAACGGGACTCGGGGCCGGGGCCGGGGCGCTGGCCTTCTCCTGCAGGCAGTGCTGCAGCTTGTGGAACACCCACTCCCGGCAGTAGAACGGCTTCCCCTGCAGCAGGCTGGTCTGGGCCATCCCGCAGGTGGGCTCTTCCCAGGGATTCGTCATGATCGGCTTCTCTCCCACGCGCGCCAGACCCCGGCCGCGTCCACGCAGGCTTCCCCACCCGCGAGGACACAGGCGCATACTAAGCTGCCTTCCGACGGGCAGGGGCCGGGCCTGGCCGGGTATCTAGGGGGCTCGCCGTCCAGCTGCAGGGTTGCGGCCCAGTGCTCGGCTGGCTGGCTCGCTCCCTGTGCCAGGGGGCTGCGGGGCACGGCCCCATGGCCACGTCGAGCTGGGGTGGTGGGCTGCAGAGGAGGCCACCCTGGGGTGCTCAGGATTTCTTTCAGGCTGTGCCCGGTGGCTCTCCAGGTCCCATGCGAGAACCCTGCATCTGAAGACGCGGGGAGGCGCCCCCTACAGTGACTGCCCCCAGGGGCTGGCGGGGGCGGGCGCTTCCCCCTAGAAGGACGTGGTCAGTCTGGACCCTGCCCCGTCAGAGCAGCTTCGGAGCACGGTTTCTTAGGTGGTGGAAGACAGGCCACTGCCGACACCTTCTGAGTTCACAGCGTTCACAAAAGGCATTTTTCAAGAGGGCAGGTCTGTGAGGTGTTTTGGCTTAAGGTGTCCAGGTAATCAACAGCTCCCACAAGTAACTAAAATAAAGCAAAGAGAAATATCTTAGTGCAAAATATCATCGATTGCGAACTTGCTTGAAAGATACACTTGCCCTGCTAAAACATCTCAGACCTACTAGGCTTCACGCTCTGTGCTTTGAGAAACTTGGACAATCTTGCAACATCATAATTACATTTTCCTGTATTTTTCTTCCTTTATGCTTATGCTTCCCAAACACTGTGATTTTAATCGCCACCCTAGATTCTTAAGACCTTACTAAGGCGAAGGGGCCTCTGTGCCCCACAGGAACCTCTTCCATTCCAGCAAAAAGACCCAGCCGGAGGGAAGGCGCCTGGGGAGGCGCCTGAGTGGGTCTAGCCGGTCAAGGCTGCGTCCACTGGCCTGGGCAGCACGCCCGTCAGGGCTTGTGACACGCAGGCCTGCTGGCCAGGGCGGCAGCTGTGGGCAGGACGGGGTTAACAACAACAACAGAAGGCGCAGGGGACGGTCCTGCGGGCAGGAAGGATAAGCAGACCCAGGCCCGGCTCTGGCCTGGCGGGCGCCCGGGCCGGGCAGACTCCTCCCCGCGCTGGGGCTGGGATTCGCCTCCAGTTCCGGTCTCAGTCCAGCTGACAGACAAAAGGAACCCCGGGATTCCCGGGGCGGAACCACCGCGAGGGGCCGCGAGGCCGCAGGGGCAGGGCACAGGCCGCGGCCAGCGCCCCCGACGCCCCCATCTGCACTCTGCGGGGCGCCCCCCGGCCCTCCAGCGGGACCCTCCAGCCCCGGGGACGGTCCAGGCAGGGGCCTTGCAGGCCCGGACCCTCCACATCCAGGGATGCCCCAGGCCGGGGACCCCTCCAGATCCCCGACCCTCGAGATCCAGGGCCCCTCCAGGCCGGGGTGTGGGGGTCCGGCTCCAGGGGCCCTCAGGGCGGGGCCCCTGCAGACCCGGGGCTCTCCGGACCGGGCCTTGCCGGCCAGAGACCCCCAGCCCCGGGGCCCTCCAGGCCGGGCCTCCAGGCGGGCCCTTCCAGCCCGGGGCTCGGGCCGCGGCCTTCCACGCCCTCCACGCCCGGCCTTCGCGCGGGGACCCTCCGGACCCTCCGCCCGGCCTAGACCCGGCCCTGCCCGGCCAGCGCGTCCCTTCCGGCCGGACCCCGGACCCGGCCCTGCGGGGCCCGCGCGCGCGGGGACGCCGCGGCCGCCTCCGACCCGGCAGGGCCCGCCCCGGCCTCGCCGCCCGCCCGGCCGGACCCCGGAAGGGCGCGGGCGGCCCGGAGCGCGGGGGCCGTCCGGCCTCGCCGCCGCCCGTTACCTCAGCCGGCCCGGCCGCCGGGCCCGTCCGGCCGCCGCCGCCTCCGGCCGCCGGCCCCGCCGCCAGCTCCGCGGCCGCGCCCAGCCCCCGCGCCCCGCAGGCCCGGCCCCGAGCCGGCCGCGCCCGCCGCAGCCCCGCCCCGCCCCGGCCCGGCCCGCCCCGCCCCGCCCCGCCTGCGCGCGCCCCGCGCCCGCCCCGCCCCGCCCGCGCGCGCGGCCCCCATTGGCCCGCCGCGCCGGCCCCGCCCCCGCCCCCGCCCCCGGAGCGGCGCGCCCGCCCGGCCCCCGCCCTTTCTTCGAGCGCGGCCCCGCCCCCGCCCGGGCCCCGCCCCTGCCCAGGCCCCGCCCCCGGCCATGCCCAGGCCCCGCCCGGGCCCCGGCCCCGCCCCCGCCCGGGCCCCGCCCCGCCCCCGCCCAGGCCCCGCCCCGCCCGGTCCGGCCGCCTCGGGGCGCCAGCGCGGGGTCCCGGGCGCACCCTGAGCCCCGCCTGTCGCGCCGGGCCCCGCCCGCCCCCTCCGGCGGGGACCGCGTGGCCGCGGCCGGGCGCGCCCTTCCTCGCTGGCCCTCGCGCCGCCCCGCGCGCGCCCCGCGGCCTCGGCACTTCCCGGGGACCCCCGCGCCCCGCCGCCCGCGCCCCCGGGCTGCGCGTCCTCGGTCTGCGGCCGGCGGCCGAGGTTCCCCCGAAACAGCCAACGGGCTGCCGAGGCCGGTCCCGCCGCGGGCGACGCCCGATGTAGGCGCTGCGGCTCCGGTACCGGTTCCGGTTCCGAGCGACCTGGACCCCTTCGCGGCTCGCCGTGGGGCGCCTTCGGCTCCGCGGCTGACACTCGAGTCCCGAGGAAGCTCCGGTCGGACAGGACGGCGGCCGTTTCGCCCGTTTCGCCCGACAACCGGCCGAGCCGCCTCCGCGCAGCTCGGGGCGGGGTCCCGGGACTGGGGTTCCCGGGACTGGGGTCCCGGGCTGGGTCCTGGGACTGGGTTCTGGGCCTGGGTTCCGGGGCTGGGGTTCGGGGCTGGGGTTCTGGGCTGGGGTTCCGGGCCAGGGATTCCAGGCCTGGGTCCCGGGCTGGGTTCTGGGCCTGGGGTTCCGGGCCTGGGTCCCGGGCTGGGTTCTGGGCCTGGGGTTCCGGGCCTGGGGTTCCGGGCCTGGGTCCCGGGCTGGGTTCTGGGCTGGGGGTTCCGGGCCAGGGATTCCAGGCCTGGGTCCCGGGCTGGGTTCTGGGCCTGGGGTCCGGGCCTGGGTCCGGGCTGGGTTCTGGGCCTGGGGTTCCGGGCTGGGGGTTCCGGGCCAGGGATTCCAGGCCTGGGTCCCGGGCTGGGTCCTGGGACTGGGTTCCGGGCCTGGGTTCCGGGGCTGGGGTCCCGGGGCTGGGGTTCTGGGCTGGGGGTTCCGGGCCAGGGATTCCAGGCCTGGGTCCCGGGCTGGGTTCTGGGCCTGGGGTTCCGGGCCTGGGTCCCGGGCTGGGTTCTGGGCCTGGGGTTCCGGGCCTGGGGTTCCGGGCCTGGGTCCCGGGCTGGGTTCTGGGCTGGGGGTTCCGGGCCAGGGATTCCAGGCCTGGGTCCCGGGCTGGGTTCTGGGCCTGGGGTTCCGGGCCTGGGTCCCGGGCTGGGTTCTGGGCCTGGGGTTCCGGGCTGGGGGTTCCGGGCCAGGGATTCCAGGCCTGGGTCCCGGGCTGGGTTCTGGGCCTGGGGTTCCGGGCCTGGGTCCCGGGCTGGGTCCCGGCCTGGGTCCCGGGCCTGCCTCGCAGGGAGGGCGGGGAGGCGGCTGGGGCAGCCTCCGCCATGAGCCGCAACTGGGCTTCAGGCTTTTTGCCTTGAGGTTTACTCACATGTGGCGGGGCGTGCGGCCCGCGGCGAGGACCACGTGTTGCCAGTCGCTGGACCCTGGGCACCGGGCGTGGGGTGGGGGTGGGGGTGGCCGCGCGGTCACGCGTGGATGCCCGGGCCCTGGCTGGCCGTCCCCTGCCCAGACGCCGGCACCAGCTGGGCGCAGTCCTCAGGCGCCGGCCGACAGAGCCCAACTTGCTTTTCTCCTTCCAGATGCTGGGCTGCCCAGGGGACCACGGCTGGCACCACGGCTGGCAGGTCGTCCTCCCACGGAGGGGCCACGAGACAGGGCGGAGAGCCAGGAGGAGCAGGTGGCCTCGGGGAGGTCTGCCACGAGACGGCCTCCGGGCCTCCGGGCCTCGGGGCCTGGGGCAGGGGCCCGGCCGGCGCAGGGGGTGGGCTCCTCGGCTGTTCTGCTTCCCTCCCTGGCCCGGCCAGCAGCAGCCGCTCGGGTAACTCAGAATCTCCCCCCAGTCAGCCTGTTATAGAGCAACCCCGATATTAAACGGGTTCCTGGCTGTGGGTCCTCACCCGCGTGCTTACAAGGGACTTACGAACACTCCACTACAGACACGCACAAAAGGTTCATAAAAGGTTTATTGACAAGGGAAAAGGAAAGAAGGAAAACGGACAACTCAGGGAGAAAATAAGGAAATAAAGTCTTTCATGCGTCCTACCCGATCCGCCGACCTGGAAACCCAAAGGCCCTCTCCGAGCTGGCCGGACGCTGCGAGGGAACCAAAATGGGGGACCCCTCCAAAGCCCACGTGTCTGGCTTATACCAACCTGGCTGCTGAACCCCACCCTCAGGCCCCAGCCACCTTCCCTTGGGCGGGGATGGGATGTGGAGTTCCAGGTGTCTTTGGCTCTGGCCTGGGGTGGGGTGGCGTCCACAGAGCCTGTGTGGGATCAGCTTTGGGACAGCCTTTCCCCTAACAAGCCTCCTCCACCTGCAGGCTCCGAGCTCGCCTCCTCAGCCACTCGCCCGCCTCTGTTGATTCTTCCTTTGATTTCCATTTCATTTTTGTGAAGCCCCTTCTGTTTTTGAAAATTCTTCTGATGGAAAAATATAATAAAATCCCACATCTGGACCTGAAGTGGGAAGCCCATGCAGTGACTGGTTTCGGAAATACGCCCTGTGAGTGTCTCTTTAACATTTTTCACAAAGACTCAAAATGCTTCACAAATATCCATTCATCCCTGTTGTGATTTCTGGGAAAAAAATGTTATTGTCCTTAAGAATAATTTCATTCAGCACAGAAATAGACAAACGCAGGCCTAGAGCTTGATTTTTTTTATGAAACCAGTAAGTGAATGCAGTTTTAAAAACTCTCAAGCATAACGTATTTCCACGGAAACCATGCCGTTGTAGCATTTTGTTTCTCATCAAATCGAGGTTGTGGCCGGCACAGATCGCACTGCAAACACTAAATAATTGACAATAATCGGAAAACTTGCGACGGCCTCCATTCATGCGTGGTCACAAGAATCAACAAGATTCCTCCGTCACCCTCGGAATGAGAGGCTCTGTCTGATGCTGGCGTGGAGCGAGCCCTTCTGGGGTCCTGGCCCACTGAGCGATGGCCGGGCAGCCACGCGGGGTGGGAGCACCTTTGTGAACCCAGCGCCAGAGCGTGCCGGGGCGGACTAAAGGCTGGTGCTGCGGCCCCAGTGATGGCGGTAGAAGGCGTGCGGGGTGAGGGCTGGGGGTCGCGGGCGTACTGGAAGGGGCTCCGGTCCAGCAGGGGTCAGATGCCCTTGAGTGTCCCGAGTGTCCCACTTGGTCTGCTCCTGCTCCTCTGCTCACCGACGGGACATTTATCTGGCTTTGACCACGGCTTTTTTTTTTTTTTAAGATTTATTTATTTATTTATGCATATGAGAAATGGGGTATAGGCCAGAGGTGCGGGGTTGGGGGGTGAGAGGACTCACCAGAGACAGAGTGGGGAGCAGAACAGGCAGATGGACCGAAGTACACTGCTGAGGGGAGCAGCAGGGAGACAGGAGAAGTCTTTTGAGCGGTGTGGTTCATCTCCCTGGCTGGGGATCAAACTTGTGCTGCAGAGGCTGCGGACAGCTTCCTAGTGCTGTGCTCAACCCCGTGCACCACCAGGGAGGCCCGAGCATGACTTGTTAACTGAGGTTTTTTCTGGTAAGGCCGTGAGTCCAGCTTTGGAGCTGTGTGCATGCGCTGGGGGCAGGGAGGGCGAGCTCCTCAGCGCGCCCATGTCTGGGCACCTGTGGGGGCGAGCAGGAAATTCACTCCTTTGGAGCCATCCTCTGTGCTTTCTTCACTTAAAGCACATCATCTGCTTGTGTTTATCCTGATGATTACTTAGGCGAATACTCCATTCATTCCTCTAATTATGCAGGCTTGTCACGTTACTGGGGAGGACACACGATCTGGAATAGCAAAAACGAAGCTCACAGCGGCATGAGATGCGGCCGTGTGGCTGTCTGAAGGGATTTGGCGACGACCAGACTTCACTAAGAGCAGGAAATGCCGGGTTCTTGTTTGCTGCTCCTTTTGGAAAACTTTGAGCTTTGAGATT